CAGTAAAAGGCTGCGCCACAATAAATAATAAAAAATATATGTAAAATAGTCCAATGGAAAGTCCAAAAAAGGGAGAAAATCCCAATATTTATCCTTACAGATAGTCTTTGGTGGTAAGGTCTTCTACTGATATGGTGGATCTACTTGGTATGAAAGATAAAAAGAGAGAGGGACAACCAATGGTGCAGTATGTAAAATTCAAATGTGAATATAAAAGAATAATAGTATAAAACTCACATTTACCAGAGCTAATATCCAGCTCTGGAGTAAGGCGCCTACAGCGGTTTAAATCCCCGCTTATGGGATATAAATGGGTTCCTCTCCGTCGTTGGTGTCCAATTCTCGGAATAAAAGAGACAACTAATAGTGCTCACTGTATAGTATTGTTGATAAAATAATAAAAGAATGTACTTACAAGGTAAGAGCAGGCCAACTGCTCTATGATGATAGCTTGGGTGGATTGATCCCCACCTAAGGATTTCTTTAAGTACAGGAAACTTCCAGGGATATTGTCCAATGATTTTTATAAAACCAATAAAAAATAATACTAAAAAGCCAGGGTAAAAGGAAAAGTTATGTGTCTTTAAAAAAGTTGATTGGCACAAATAAATGACCAAAAATACTTTAATATGATAAAAGAACACAAATATTAAATATCCATAACGCGTTTCGTCAAAAAAAAAGACTTTTTCAAATGGATTTACATCTATGTATGTCATGTATTCCTGACCCTATCGTGTTAAAAACACAATCACCCTTGCCTCCTTAAATATAGTAAACTCTTACTTGTATTCAGGTCTGTAGCTGCTGGCTCTGTCTCTGATCTGCCTGCTTGGCTGACATCATAAGAAGTGTTGATCAAAAGCCAATTAAACTGCTTTCCCCTTAGGATTGGCTGGGACTGTAAAGGAGTTAAATCAGGGGCAGAGCCAGCACAAGTCAAACACAGCTCTGGCCAGTCAGCATCTCCTCATAGAGATACATTGAATCAAAACATTTCTATTAGGAAAGTCAAGTGTCTCCACAAAGAGGGTGAAGACACTGAATGGCAGTGCTGCAGTAGCCAGTGGAGGTATCACTAGGCTATAACGTAAACACTGCATTTTCTCTGAATTGATTCTACTCACCAGAACAAATACAATAAGCTGTAGTTGTTCTGGTGACTATAGTGTCCCTTTAAGAAACAGCACAAGCACATTTAATACATAAACAGATTTTTCAAAAGTACGAGTTGGACAGGTTCTCATTATTCTAATAAGCAGTTTCTGATTTATTATAGGTATCTCTTCCTACACTTTCACCTGACTAAATAGACTTCAGAAAAGAACAGTTCAACATTGAAAGTTTGACAGATGTTCAATTAGAGTTAATTTATTATTGCCTGGTTAGATGGGAATAACAGAATTATTATTTTAATAGAAAGGACATTTTAGTCACAATGATAATCGTTAATTAGCACACATTTTGATATTATTTCTACATATTAGAGTGTTTAGATAATAAAGTTAAAACACATCGGATTAGATGATTTGAGTCTCAGAGAAATTTTCTTATTCGGGATCTTCTAAAATTGTGTTGTGGGGTTCCTGTAATTAAACTCTATTTGGGAATATAATTACTTTTATTTCAATGTAAAATGCATAATTCCATAGCACAGACAAAAGGAAAAAGAATGCATAAAAAGGATTTACATGAAGAAAGAAAAAATAAAATATTTATAGAACATAAAAAACATGCAATTTTTAAAAAGGTCTTTATGCAAGTTGTCAGTAGAAATGTAGGGTAATGCCAGTAGAAATGTAAGGTGGGGGCACTAAGGTCCACGGGAGGGAAGGTAAAAGGAACACTTTGGTGGGGGGGAGAGAAGAGAAGGGAAAGGAACACTAAGTGACGGGGAGGGAGGGGAGAGGAACACTAAGGGGGAGGGGGGGAGAGTTACACTAAGGGACAGGCAAGGGAGGGGAGAGGAACACTAAGGGACACGGAAGGCAGGTGAGAGGAACACTAAGGGACATAAAGAGGAAAGAAACACTAAGGGACATGAAGAGGACCATAATAGACAGGAAGGCGAGGGAAGAGGACCATTAAGGGATGGGGAGGGGAGAAGAGAGGAACACTAAGGGACAAGGAGGGGAGAGTGGCACACATTGGGCCTAATAGACTAAAAGTAAAAGTACTGGGTTCGAAATGAATAGGGTATCTTTGTTTGAGAAAGAAATTGGAGGCTTCCAAACCATTTTTATGTAGTATATTGTTGTATAAAGAAATGACATCGAGACTTACAATCAATGTATATGCGGATACTTAGATACACCTTAATATGTGTAATGCATGTTGTGTAGCTTTAAAAGATGGAGATTTTACACAAAAGGGCACAAACTTTTGTCAATATAAACACTGTCCTCAGTCAGACTCTTTTTGCTCTGCTGGTGGTTTAATGTCTGGAATTGTTGCATACTTTACAAGGCCGTCACAGTAAGGGTAGTGGGAAGAATAAGCCCACACTTATATATGATGATCTTGTTTTCCAAGGCATCCTGTAATATTAACCATAAGGCCCAAGGATATTCAGATATTCTTTAACTAGAATATATCGATCTTTGTTGGCCATAATTCCCATACCCATATCAATATAATTTATTTCCTGAGGATAATATTTCCGCCTTTATCAGAAGGCTAAATGATCATATTATTTTGTTTCATTCTGAGTTCTGACAATGCTAGGTTTGTTTTCTTCTTTAGATAAATTAGAGGTATATTTGTGTTGACTGGGTTAATAGCCTCCGTTTCCTGTCATTGATATTATAAATATGTCTACACCAAGAATGTCAAACTTGTGGCCCACAATGAATATATTTGTGGCCCGTCTGCCCTGGGGTCGCTGTGGGTGCGACCAGCTGCAAAACAGGAAAGATCTTTCCTGTCTTATCCTTGTCTTCCCTCCCACAGCCACAAGAGGGCAGAATGTCTGTCTGCAGAGCAGGCCAACTACTCCCCCTTCCCTCCATGCAAGATGAGGGTCTGCTTGAGCAGAGCAGGGCTGGAACTGAAGGACTGGGGGCTCATCTTAAGGTAGGAGAATAGGGGCTTGAGGCATTTTCCTATGTAGTATGTTAAGTTGGGAAGGGGTAGCAGTGTATTAATTTGGAGGAGAGAGGGGCCAGTGTATTAATTTGGGGGAGGGCAGTGTATTAACTTGGGGGAAGGAGGGGTCAGTGTGTTAAATTGGGGGAAGGGTAGTGTTTTACATGGGGGAGGGAGAGGGCAGTGTATTCAATTAGAGTGGAGGAAAGGGGGGCAGTGTATTAGATTAAGGGACAGTGTATTAGATTGGGTGGAGGGGAAGGTGTATTAGAGTTGAGAAAGGGTGGCAGTGTATTGGATATAGGAGCAGTGTATTACATCGGAGGGAGGGGGCAATGTATTAGAATGGGGGAAGGCGGCAGTGTATTAGATTGGGTCTGCATGGAGGCGCTGAACATTTCCCATGGAGATGCTGACTGACTGCGCAGCTTTTTGCCACACATGCATCATAGCCTTCCAATGCTTTCTTATGGGAAAGCATTTGATTGGCTGAGATCATCAAATTTGATGATCTCTGCCAAATTGAAGGACCCACTCATAAATCAACAAGATAACATAATTTGTTTTTTATAGCTGTGCAAAAGCATACATTTACCATTTCAGTCTCTTTACCAAACTTTTCTTAATGTGTCAAGATAGTTGGACTGAAACGTTGGTTATATGCAATTGCACGTCTTCCTAAAATAAATTAACTCTTATACTGTACTTTTCTAAAAAAACCTACGTTTCTATGAAAACTGAAGTTTTTATTTTTTTTGCGGCTTATATAAATTAAAATTTTGTTTATTTGGCCCGTGTTAACCTCTGAGTTGGACATGCTTGGTCTACACTGTCAAAGTCTCCAAAATTAGGGGTAAGTTTTAAGAAGCAGCCTGAGGTCTGTATAGTCTGTCCTATGATCTTATTCATCAATCAGAAGTGTTAATGTTTTAAAATGGCTGTAGTCCGTCACATTAAAATCCAAGTGTTTTAGCTCTGTTCTTTTCTCATTTTAAATTAGAAACTAACCCTCATCTCAAGTAAGCTCCCTTCATACTTTTCTCAGGCCTGTTCCTCTGTCTGTCCACGATGTCAACTCTTTCTTTCGTTCAGCCTGCTAATTTTGGAACCAATTGCATTAGGATTCAGATCAGGAATCAAACAGATGTACATAGATTAACAGGACACTTTACCTAAACTGCCTTTTAATTATGGTAGTTGATAAGCTGGATTTAACAGAGTAGTTGTCTCCAGCAATTGATCTGGACATCATAGGGGGTTGGGGCTATATTTTCTTATGAAGGATACCAGCTGTGATATACACATATTTGAAAAGCTTTCAAACAATATTAAACCGAGGCCTTAGTTTCTGAATTAACATTTTTGATAAGCTTTTACAATATATTTTTTTCCTCAAAATATGAAAATATAAAAAATACCCTTTACATCATTCAAATAATTTCACATTATTATTATTTTTTTAATTATCCCCAAAAATTTATTAATTTGAAAAGTTTATCGAGCAATAATAAAATAGAGGCCTCAGTTTATTTTCCTTTCTTTACAGCTACTTTTCACATTCTTTCTACTGACAGCTTGCATAAAGACCAATTTATATTTGCGGTATAATGTTGTTTTGTTTACATTTTTTATTTTTGTTGTGCAGGTAGGTAGCCTAATGTATCTGATGGAACTCTGCAGTGTAATTTAGTAAGTAAAAGGAGCAAGATTATGTTACAAGAGAGTAGCATAGATTAGATCAGGCTAGGTACAAGATAATAGATAGTAACTTGATGGGCTGCCCGTCTGCTGGAGTTTAAGCATGGTGCATGTACATAAAATGTGTGTGTAGCGGACCTTGGGTAACCCGACTGGTTACCACTGCTATTAATAAATTAACAGACCAATTTTCCTCCCAGTAACTGGACAACACACCGTTCCAGGGGTACAACAACAACAACTTTATTGGCCACATACGGCTTTATACTTTTCCCCATGCAAGGGGTGGAACACACATGAAGACAATGTCCCCACCCGGGGGTCATATAAGGGAACTGGAACCCCAGACCCTTTATTCCCTGTTCCTGCCACTCAGTGACCCCTCCCACTCACAAGGGTCTTGTTCCCAGAGGTCTCTGTATCTGGGGGAGACCTCAGACCTCTTTACCTCCCAGCGACAGAGAGCCTGCCATCCTTCGCCACTCTCCCCTCTCAGGCACCCTCCTGAAAACAGTAACTACCATGGACAGTCTTCGTTTCGCTGTCCCTGTGTGAAGTCCGGCAAGGGAAGCGTTGCTTTCGTGATGTGAATGTTCCTCCTGGCCGCCGTTCGTCTGTATGACCGGCGGCCACCCAGAGTAGCACTAATTTATTACTTCCCTTGCGGTTTCACACTATGTTGCCAGTTGCCACCAACTGATTGGTGTGAATATTCGAATGGGTGCCGGGGAGGTCCTCATTCGGGAATCGAACGAGGTATGAAGCAGTCCGTGAATGCTTCCCTTGGATGGCATTCTTCTAACGAATAGGCAGCTACCAAGGGTCGGCATGCGGCAATGCTTCCCTTGTGGTTTGTGGTTTTGACACCTCATTGCGAGGTGCGAACGTACTAAAACCACATTCTAAATAAGATTTTGTGGTGGTCCACGTTCGGGCGGTGAATGGAGTCCCGTTCGCGCTGGTACTCCTGAACGGAGAGCAGGCAGTTCTATAGTTATACAAAACACAAGGAACAAAAACACAGGGTCGAGCAAGGGGAAACACACAAAAGAGATATCAGTACAGTAACACACATTTCAGGGCAACCGGGGCAATTCATAGTTTAGCGGGGGTTCCGCTACATTGTGTTATGTAGAAAACTTTTAAGGTGAGTCTGTGCAATGTTACTTGTGGGGTGAACCCCTTGATTGCCCCAACATAGTGCGGAATGTACGCAGATTGAGGAATGCAAACAGAAAATCAACGGCAACATCAGCACAGGTACAGAAGGGCAGCATAAGGAAATGTGTCCTTGAGAAATGCGGGTAATGTGCTCGGGGTAGCATGGCGATGTCAGCCAATGCCTTGGCATAGTGGGAGAGTCTCTGGGTATTGCTGCATGAGGAAGGTATGCCAGGGTGTCATTTCTGCCTCTCAAGGCCTTAGAGTGGGCCTGCGTTAAACAAGGAATGCCTATCACAAGGGATGCCAATCACAAACAATTAATAAATTACATTTAAAGGAACACTATTGTCACCAGAACAACCACAACATATTATATTTGTTCTGGTGAGTAGAATCATTCCCTTCAGGCTTTTTGCAGTAAACACGGTCGTTTCCGAGAAAAGGCATTGTTTACATTACAGCCTAGTGATAACTCCACTGGCCACTCCTCAGATGGCTACAAGAGGTGCTTCCTTCAGTGTTTCCTCCCTCTGCATGGAGACACTGAACATTCCTCATAAAGATGCATTGGCCAGGGATGTGTTTTGCTTGTGCTGGCTCTGCTCTTGATCTGCCTCCTTGACAATCTCAGCCAATCCTATGGGAAATCATTGTGATTGGCTCAGATAATGTGGGAAAGCATGGTAATTGGCTCTGATAATGTGGGACAGCATGGTGCAGGGGCAGACTGACCAGTCGGGCACTTCGGACATGGTCCGTGGGCCCGACCGGGAGGGGTGCACCCCGCCAGGGCCACCATCAGGGGGCTTGTCAGCAGGGCTGGATTGGCCCACCGGGGCCGCTGCATCTGGGAACTGCGGAAGTAGGTGCCACCGGGTGGCCGGTCCGGTGGCACACTCTGAGGGGGCCGGCTGCGTTCCACGCTGCGAACTGTCAGCCGGGTGGCAGCCTCGCCGGTCCGGCGGCACTCCTGTCACTAATGCTGAGGACGGAAGGAGGGAGGAGCATGTCTCTCTCTCATGCTCCCTTGCGGTTCCCACATCCTGTGCTGGGAATTGTGGGAACCGCGAGGGAGCATGGTAGAGAAACATGCTCCTCCCTCCTCCTCCTTCACTCCTCAGCATTAGTGACAGGAGTGCCGCCAGACCGGCGAGGCTGCCACCCGGCTCAGAGCGTGGAACGGGGCCACCCCCATCTGTCTTCTCTTGGTAAATGGGAGGGGGGGAAATAAAACAGAGAGGGGGAATAGATAGAGGCAGGGGAAGAAACAAACAGTGGGAGAATAGAGAGACACACAGGGGGAGGGTAAGGGAAGAGACAGAGGGGGAGAGAGAGTGACACAGGGCAAGGAGGGAGAAAGACAGAGGAGGAAGAGTGAAACACAGGGGGAGAAAGAGGGGGAATAGAGAGATGGTGGAGTGGGGAGAAAGAGACAGAGGGTAAGAGAGATGTGGGGTAGAGACAGACACAGGGAAAGGGGGAAGAAATAGACAGTGGAAGAGAGACACAGGAAGAAAGGAGAGAGACACCAGGGGAGGGGGAGAAAGAGGCAGAGGGGGAAGAGAGACTGGGAAGGAGAGGGGAGACATGGACACAGAGGAACAGTGAGGGGGGAGAAAGAAACATACAGAGAGACTGGGGGAGACACAAAGGCACACAGAGGGGCTGTATATATCACTGGTGGATCCCCCCCGCCCCCGGCCGATCTCTCTACCCGGTCTGCAGGCACTGTGCGGGCAGCTGGCAGCGGAGGGCGGAAGAGAGGACCCGGGAGCTCAGCCTGCAGCTCCTCTGGTTCCTTCTCGCGCGAGCACAGAGCGTTGCCGCGATTACCACGGCAACGCTTCGGCTCTTGCGAGAGTGACCTCTAGCCCTGGAGCTACGGGCTAAAGTTTACTCTCAACACTGCGACCATCAGGGATTCCTGGTGGTCACAGTAGTGAGAGTGAACTCTAGCCCCATACACACACTGCCCCCCCACACACACACTGCCCACCCAAACACACACAGACCCCATACACAGCCCCCCATACTAACATTGCCACACACATACACAGCCCCCCCATACACACATTGCCCCAGTCACCCTATACATTCACACACTACACCCCCCACACACACACACTGAACCTTTCACAAACACTGCACCCCTCACACATTGCACCACTGCTCCTATACCCTACTACAGCCCCATATCCCAGCAGACCCCAGGTAAGTTTTCAAACTGTTCTTAAACGGTTTGACTACTTACTCTGGAGGGGATCCCGGCCCTCCTGGCACCATATCCACTACACAGAGCAGCAGTGGTTATTGTGCATGGATTATTTCTTTAAATAATCTACAAGTGCCCCAGTAGCCAGCAAGCCAGCCAGCCCACAGGTCAACCAGGCCACCAGCCAGCCAGGCCAGTACCCAGCCAGCCCACAGACCTACAGCAAGCCACAGGCTTACAACCAGCAAGCCCACAGCCTGCCAGTCTTAGCCAGCAAGCCCACAGCCTGCCAGCCGCAGCCAGCAAGCCATAGCCTGCCAGCCGCAGTCAGCAAGCCCACAGCCCGCCGGCAGTAGCCAGCAAGCCTACAGCCCGCCGGCAGTAGCCAGCAAGCCTACAGTCTGCAAGGAAGCCACAGCTTGCCGGCCGCAGCCAGCAAGCCCACAGCCTTCCAGCAAGCCCACAGACAGCCAGCCAGCAACAGTAATTAAGGTAAGAGGAGCCAACTTGGCCTAGGTATCAGTGAGCTATGTTGTGTTGCTATATTGTGAATAGGAACCAGAGTGTTGGAGAGACCATCCTCCAGGCCCCATTAGACTCCATTGTAGTCTCTAATGGGGCCTGGAGGAGATTCTTTCTAACACACTCTCTAAAGGACACTGAGATGGCCTTTGCTAGAAATCACCTCCATGGCCCATTAGCCCTCAATTGTAGTCTCTACTGGGGCCTGGAGGCGACTGTTTCCAGCAGAGGCTATCTAATGGATGCTGAGATGGCCTCTGCTAGAAAGACCCCCTTCCAAGCCTATTAGACTCCATTGTAGTCTCTAATGGGGCCTGGAGGGGATTCTTTCTAACACACTCTATAAAGGACACTGAGATAGCCTCTGCTAGAAAGACCCTCCTCCATGGCCCATTAGCCCTCAATTGTAGTCTCTACTGGGGCCTCGAGGGGATTATTGCACTTTTGTTCCTTGTGTCTAAAGATTGTGTACGGTGTGGCTGGAGGCGGAACAAGGGTGGGGCTTGCTGCGGAGCATGGGTTGGGCCTGTTAGGGGGCCCTTGATTTATTTTGCCCAGGGGCCCTGAGGGTTCTCAGTCCGCCCCTGGCATGGTGATTGGCTCTGATAATGTCAGTCAAGCAGGCAGATCAGGGGTTAGAGCCAGCAGTACGATTTTACTATATTGAGGGGGGGGGGGGGGGAAACAGATGGTGGTTTTAACATTATAGTGTCAGGAATACAGTATTCCTTTAATTATATTTAACAGGAAACTACTGGTACTGAAGAATGTGTGGACCATAAACCCAATTGTTTAGCATGTTTAGCGTGACAGATGTTGGTTTGGTACAGTGAAAATTTTAATGCATTTATAGTGCACAAAAGTTTAGTTCTAAAATGAAAGTATGGTAAATAGCCCCTCCACACACTAGACCAAGCATTGTCCCAGAATCATGTGCCAGCTCCACATGGCTTTGTTTAATTTTATCCAAAGATATTTCTGTATTTTAGCACATTTTACCAAAGTTTACACTTCCCAATACATCTGCTGGTGCACTGAATGTATTTTTTCCACATGTGACTACCGTGGGCTCCCATTCACACAAACACCTAATTCCCCTGTTTGAAAATATAAAGACAGACCCAACCCAATTCATTGCTGCCAATACAGGGCAGAGAGGCTCAACCAGAAAACCTAACTGGTGTTTAATGTCCATGGATCAAATCAATGTATGGTTTATGATAATATATAGAAGACTTGAAAGATGCAGGACTGAACATGTGGACAGTTTTCAGGTGGCAGCTCGTTAAAAAAAGTTATTGCAGTCGGAAATCCAGAACAACTACACTACTATACTACTTATAAATACAAAAGCATGAGCTCTTTGGGCCAATTTTGCTTCTACCTTTCTTAAAAATATGTTTGAAAAAATATGCTAATCGTGCCTTTTAGGAGAAAAAAAAATATATAAAATAAAAACAACAGTGGTGTACACCAATAATGAATACCATTATTGGTAAACTTTTTTTTTAATAAAAGTCAAATGTTTTTGATGAAGTACATTGCCCACACTGAATTGTTTAAAGAAGCGGTCTCACCAACATATTTCACTTTTATATTTGGCACACCTGATACACTGGTACTTTTTTCCTGCAGGTAATCATTTTATACAACAGTATTTAAAACAGTGGTTGTAGTTTAACTGATCTGGAGAAAGATGTTATACAGAGTGCATGTGGTTACTCGAGATCACAGTACAGAGCTTTATGAAATACAGTTCCTATAAAAAGTTTCCCCTCGTAGACGGCAGCCACAGAAGACGCCTGTATCACTGAGCCGTTGTTCACATATACTTGGGTCACTATAGGATTGTCAGAATGAATGTTCTGCACACGGACAACCTACAATGGAAAAACATTTAACAGAGTGTTAGACACCAAGTTCATTTTGAGATAGATAGGCATTTAATTTAGCTTTAGAATATCTGTAGCCTGTGTAGTACAGATGTGTAGAAACTCCTGTATATTATGGATCATATCCAAGGATGTGAGCATTGCCCCAATGAATATACATTAAATGGCAACTAATATTAGAAAAGGTCTGGAATTCTTATGCTATTGATTCAACAAGGTACTGGAAATATTCTGGAGGGAGGCCATATACTCATGTGGTGACATTTCTAAGGTCCTTTCTTTGATGAAGGCTGGCAAACAGCATCTGATAACAAGCCTCTTCATCATGAGATGGCCTTTTAACCTGCAAGCATGATGCAACAACTTATATATTATCCCTATGGGTTCAGTAGATGTAGAGTGTAGGGCATGACAAACAGTTGTATTGACAAAGTATCACACTGCATATAAATAGATTTTTTATTTATGGCTTAATACTTACAAATGTAAGTCATACATTCTATCAGCCTGAGAATATGGGCAGACAGCAGTACCAGGCCCTTCATTTAAAAACCTATTTGCATACACAGAAAGGGCTACAGCTTAATTTTACTCATGAGGGAACAATGCCACAAGTAGCACAGAGAACTAAGTCCATTGAAAGGCTATTATTGTGTGCTTGTATGGGCCACTTGTCATGTAAAGTGATGTTTAACTAAATACTCTTTTTGGGATTTTTAAATTCAGACTGCCCAGAATTTATTTTCTGGTGATGCCTGATAATTGCCTTATTTCTTTGACAAAAAAGGAGGATCACCAGAAATATAGCGGCTGAAAAGCAGCCTACAAGGTGAACACTTTAATGATGGGTAAGTCATGGAGAGTTATATTAACCCTTGCATGAGAAGTGTTGGACACGCGTTTTGCTTTTTTAACCCCAAACATACCCTATAAAATAAACACTGTGCCAAGATAGCTTCATTAAACTTATACTAATAAAGTCACTGTTACTACAAGGTTGTAAACATGCAATTGTCTAAAATGTCTTTTTAACCTGCAGCAATAAGATGATCCTTTATTGCCCAATTCCAGACCACTACACAAAACTTTACAATAGACACTCATTGCTCCAGTGGACATTGTAGCGGATGGCACTGGGCTGTCCTGAAAATTACATAAGTTTTAACTGCATTCGTGTAAATGGCAAAGTTATATGTGGTAAATGTATTGTATTCGTCTAATTTTTCGGTAGAATCATTCCAACAAATAAGGGAATGAAACTACCGAACAGTCAGACCTCCCCGGTGTGAAGTGTGCCTTCAATTACCCGTTGCAACATTGTTGCGAACGGGTAAATTGACAAGCTGAGTAGCAGTCCTTTGTTCTCTGGGGTGGCCGCCATTCGGGAAACGAACACGTGGCGGCGGCCATTTTAAAACTCCCGAACAGCGGTGTTTTGCCGTCCTAGTGTCTGGAACTCAAATTGGACACTCGACTAGACGAACACCGCTGAGACCTCCACAAGCCCGGTCCGTTCGGTTCCAAACTACCAAACAGCCCCTCGTTCAGTAGATAGAAACAACCGAACGAGAGGATTCAGGCAAACCCTCCCCAGTCTCTGTAACTGGAGGCTTTTGTGTAAACTATTCCCTCGTTCCAGGACCGACCACAGGGCCCCATCGCATGGAACCCAATTCGGCTACTCTTTCCAGCGCGGTCGGTCATTTTATTCCCTCCATAAATTTCCCGAACCCCTGATCTGGGTGATTTTTGGATATGTTGTTCACCCAGATCAGGGCTACCTGGGGATGTATAATTTAAAGTGGTACCCCTAGGTTTAGGGGTACATCCAGAAACGGGGGGAATTGGTGTCCTGGATAAGGGGATTATGAGGCAGACTAAGAGGAGGAGAGGTGTGGGAGGTTACTAGAACAGGATTGGCTACTGTACTAATGAATGAAAATCCCTCTCTTGCATGGGAGCATGCTTTATAAGGCCACTGTCTGAATAAATCTTTAGTCCTGCTCCTGATACTGTGTGTCGTCCAGTTATTGGGAGTGCTGTTGGGATACTGCTGTGTTATTTTGCCTGCTGGATACTTTGCCCTATGGATTTATAATTGCTTGTTCCTGAGCTTCACTGCGATCCAAAGTAGAGATAGGCTGTGTAATACCAGCTCTCCGCTACAGACATGTTTCCACCATTCCTGAGTCCGGTTGATTCTTGGCATTGTGTATGTTGATGTGTGGCTTGCACGAAGCTGATTTGATATGGAAACCCAATTAATGATGCATAGCTCTTGTGCTTTTTCTTTCAGAGGCAGTTTGCAACTCTGTAATAAGTGATGCAACAGAGGATAGGAGATTTTTACACACTGCATACTTCAGCACTCAGCATTCCCTCTTTGTGCATATGCATGATCTACCACTTTGTGGATGGGCTGTTCTATGTGCATCCCCATTACAATAATTGTATTTATAGTTACCCAGAGCAGATTTAGTATTGTAGAAATTTCACAAATTAACTTTTTGCAAAGGGGACATCTTATGACACTGTCATGTTTAAAGTCACTGAGCTCAATTACTAGGGGTGGCCACATATTATTGGCCATATAGTGTAGACCTGGGGTGCCAAACCAGTCGATCTCAATCGACCAGTCGATTGTGGGCTGATTCTCAGTCGATCGCAACAGCAGGAGGTGGGCGCACCGTGGTACAGGAACTTCTGTTTCCTGTACCCGGCCGTACTGAAAGGAAGTGCTCACTGAAGTGCCCAACCTCAGAAGATGTGCCTTGAACTTGACTGCACTTTTTGGATCAACTTATTTGTGTGTAACTGCTTTCTCTCACATGAAAAATCATAAATTCGAAGTACAGATCCATAATGACAGACATTCACCTTGTGGCCTGCCTAATGCTTGCAACCAACTCCTACTGCCCTGACTATGAGAAACTAGCTGGCTCCTCCCAATGTCAGAAGTCCCACTGAGGTAGGGAAATACATTTATTGCCACAGCTTTGCAACTCACAAACTACTTTTTATGATATCTGAATGGGTTTTCTGTTTATTAGGTGCATGTTAAATGCACTGATAGACAATGGACACAGCTTCCTATGTGAACTGGTAGATCTCCACGAGCTGGCAACTTTAAAAGTAGATCTTGGTTCAAAAAAGGTTGGGCACCACTGATCTAGACAGACAGATATTGCTCTGGCACCACAACCCCCATTTCCACTTTTCTTCTCTGGAGTCCATTTCAAGACGATTATACCTTTTGGAGTTAGGAATGTATAACAGCATGATATGAGGTTAAACCATAGTAAGATTTGTTGATACTGTGCAGAACCTACACACCAAAACAGTATAAAAATACTGTAGCAGTTTCAGTCCAAGGAACATTGCAATACAACAATTCTTTGGGACAATGTTACAGGTCATGTACAATGTTACACGATTTTTAGGGCAGAAGTGACAGTTTTGTAATTTTATTTTCTAAAATGGGGTAAGATATTCCATATTAGTTTGTGGACACTGACCTCAGATCCAGGTAGATCATCAGGATTGTAAAATAATAATTTTTTGCCATTTGGATGTCCAGCTGTCCAGATATCCCCTGTATTTGGGTCTACAACTAAGTTGTCCAAAAGTGTATCTAATTGCAGAACCTTTTATAAAAATAAAGTAAAAAATAAAGATTAATACAACAAAACAACAAATCTGAAGCATTTCTGAACAGAACAACATTTTGAATTAAATTCAGAGTTACAGCTAAGAGCTGATAGATACCATCGATACTATTTTCCATATTGTCAGAAATAAATAATGACAGAATAAGAGAAATACAAAAAAAACAAAAAAAAAAAACAAGACCATACCTCCAAAACAACTTTGTGAAAGTGCTAACAATTAAAGGGGAGAAAGAGAACTGTTACAGTGAACACACATAATGTGTGTATCAGTGTATATACAGTATTTTTCAGAATATTGGACAGTTTTTGTTACTGCTTGCGTCCTGTATTCTGTGTGTATATGTGTATATGGATAGAAAGATCATTTTAAGTATCGCTATATAGCTTCAGTCGCTGGCAGGCCCGGTAAAGAGAACAAAGCTCTCCCTCACCAGGCCTGTGCAGGCTTCTGTTGGGGAGGCGAACATGGGAGACTCAATCTGCACCCCTCTGTGGTGTTGTATGTGTTTGGAGGTTGTTTGTGGTATTGCAAGTGTGTAGAAGAAACTGTGTGTCTTATAGTGTATATAAAGGGTTGTGGTGTGGTGTCAGCTGAGGCTCTCAGCCTATCTGTAGCTTCCAATTCACAATATAGATTGAGAAAAGATAATGAACTGTTTTTTTCATTGATGGTAAGTCAACTAGGGACCTCCTGGCACCATAACAACTTCCTTCTTATGAGGATGTTATCATTCTCGGAGGGTATAGGGGTTATTCACTAAACTTGGAACTGGAGCATGGGAATTGGACATTTTAGACCAAAGCATCCATATTAAAACAAATGTCAGCTCTTTTACAATTTATCCAATTCAAAATGAAATTAGCAATTCCTTTGTGAATTCCCAATTATTCCAGGTTCAGTGAATAGATCCTTAATGCAATTTGAAGTGTAATGCTCAAAACCATCTGGGTGACGCACAAGAGGTTTTAAAAATATGGTTTAACAAATCTGGCCAAACATCTCTGTTCTCTTCCCCTCCAGAAGAATTCAGTTAAAATAAAGATGACATCTACAATCCTAGTGAAATATTTTAGAGATTACATCACAAAATAAAAGTATGTTGTAAAGAAAAAGCACTATAGAAGTCATTACTATTTACTTTTATTCTGTGTATTATCACTACATTTGGATATATTAGTGATGAAAAACATATCACCTTCACTGGAGACAGGGACCAGTCTGCTTGTTTTTCCAAAACAGTAATTGTATGACCAAAGATATCAGCAACGTAAATGAACCTTTAGGGAAGCACAAAGGACAAAAAGAGAATTAGAATATAGGAACTAAACAGCAGCTAAAAGGACACTGTAGGCAGCCTGACCACTTCAGCTCAGTATCGGACGCTGGACGTACTCGCGCTCTGCATCAGGACACCCAGCATTAGATTTGCCACGCATACGCATTAGAGCCCCCTCGTCGCGGGACGGAGGAGGAGGAGCTTCGACCCAGCGCAGAGGGACATCGGAGCTGGGATCAGGCATGTAAATAACCTTCTATTTACCGGGGAGATGGGGGTGATTGTATTCCTGGCACTATAGTATCCCTTAAGTGCAAGCGTTCATACTTTATTGGACCCTCGATGCTGTTTTTCTCAATTGGCCTGCTTCTCGTGTTCAGTTTGTGTAAAGAATATTCCATACGATTTTGGTTTAGACACAGTGGGTTTCGTAACAAACATTTTAGTTTTATTTTAGCCTTTTACATATTGTTGCTAGAGCTACCGCTCTGGGTGGGAGTTATTGGTGGGGAGGTCCATCTTCTATGCCACTTGCTTTGTTTATTTGTCTATTTATATTTAAAGTTCTTTAGATAGGTGGTGAATGTGGTGAAATTTTGTCATCAAACTAATATGGTGAGCAGGGGTCATGTGACCAAGACAGCGGAATGTGCTTTACCCTTTGATATGGTAATTCAATACCTTTACAAGTCAGGAAAGAGATAACCACTTCCCCTTATCCCCATTCCTCCCTGTTTCTTCTTGGCTGTGCTACTGAGCAGACATGGGATAATTTTTATAATGGTGAACTGTGAGTGGGATCTGATGACTTTATAAGGTTTAGTTGTTATTGTCAGTTAGTTAGATTGTGGTTTTAGTTAGATTGTGTGTCATTATTTGTATGTTGTTGTTGTTTTGTCTCTGAATAAATATTTGTTAAAGTAAACAGACCAGAGTTTATATGTGTATGTGTACATAATTTATATAGTTTGGTAATACACCACAGTGAATAATCTAGTGTTGCAGCTTATTTTGTTTTTAAGTATAATTATTTTGGCAACAAACCATCACTATTGTACATAGTAATCTGTTCTACATAATAAGTGTACAGTGTACATTCATGGTTCGCCTTACACAGTTTCCCAATCCAAATGGTTGAATAATATATACATTACTTTTTATCAGTTGACATGGCGATTCCATTCGCACTATAGAATCCAGAGGCCACTTGTCTCACTTCACCGGGGCTGTAGTAAACCACGTCCGACCATCCTAACCCGAAGAACAATTCCAGGTGTCTCATGGTAAAATCTGAGAAATAATAATCGTTGGTGGCATAAAAGCTCTCAGGTCCCAGAGGCACAATATTGTTAACACTGCAAGGAAAAATAAGATGTTTTAGAGTAATCAGTTGTTTATTAAAAGATGTGCAACCTAACTCCCTGCATACAAGTTTTGTAAGAATTTCACCAGCCATGAGACTGTCCCTTTCCATTTGACATCAAAGGAGAGATTTACTTCAAATCCATATCAATCCTTAGGAGAATGCAGTGCCCAGCCCTGTTCCCAAAACTGTGAATAAGGGCGGTTAATAAAAGGATATCAGCCACTATATTGTGACGATTGAAGACTGGTTAAAGGAAATCTCCCACAAAACCTTGTTATATAGCATATTATTATATAGTTATATAGGCTGGAAAGAGACATGTGTCCATCAAGTTCAGCCTTCCTCACATCTAGTTTTTTGCAAACCCAGTTTGAAGCACTTCCAATTTTGCACTAGAAAAAAAAAAATCGTTCTTGACCCCCGAACGGCAGTCAGATTTTTCCTTGAATCAAGAAGCTATTACCCTACAGTTGAAAAATTACATAATTGAATATTATGTTTTTGCAAGTATGCATCTAGTTGCTATTTAAACATCTGTACAGACTCTGATAAAACCACTTCTTCAGGCAGAGAATTCTACATGCTTATTGTTCTTAGAGTAAAAAAAACAAAAAACAACCCTTTCTTTTGTCTTATAATGGGACAAGATCAAATTCATTAGAATAGAATTAGTCTCCTAATTGGTGGAATATCTTCTTGAACTTGATAGGGCTTTTATGTGTAAGTTTCACACACATTAACCCCTTCATGACAAGTTATTTTTTTTTTTTGCTATGTCTTTGTTCAAAGGTTTATTTCGTGGGCAATCGTGTTTTTTTTTTTTTTATATGTAAAGTTTTTATGGATCTTTTTCAAAACAAAAGAAGGGAGGTGGGGTACAGAAAGGAAAAAAAGGGGATCACAATTTCCAGCGGCATTTGCAAATGTGTTTTTTAAAGAACACTTCGCACTTTGAACACCCTCTAGAAATATCTAACTAATCATTTAGCTTCTGGAATAATGGGGGGGGGAGGGGAGGGGAAGAAATATTTTATAAGGGCATAAACCAAAAGCATTGCAAAGCTTATGGTTGTTAGATTTTGATAAGATGAGTATCAATAGTGGTAACAGATACGGGGTTATTTACTAAATGTTGGACATTTGCAGTGAAATCAAAAAGAATTTTTAATTTAAGGTCAAAATAACCAAACAAGAATTCAGAACTGTTTGTCTCTATAGGCCTTAAAACTAAAATTCAATTTAAATTCTCAAAAATTCTCACTAACCCTAAAAAGACAAAAGTATATATATATATATATATATGTATATATATATATATATATATAGTTTAAAATAAGACACACGGTAGGATTTACACTTGCACTCTTAATGCAGCCAGTCTCTTTATATCGACAAAATTTCAAGTAAAAATTCCGTTTTTATTACAAATGCAGATACAACTTGACATTTCCTCCCAAATTTGTTATTAGCTTGATCTACCGAGCAATAAAATGTCTGTTGTGTTTACCTTTGAATGTTTTGATGGCATTACAGTGACAAGTGTGGCACCTAGCCATTTTAGTTTTGAAAAGTGGGATTTTAATGTTGTGTCCCATTTTAATGCAGAAGAGCAGGCCGCCATTTAAAATTGGTATAGTATAGAGGGGGAGGTAAAAAAATTTTTAGGATAAGTTTAGATCAAAGGGCTATTTATTTATTTTTTAAGAAGGAGCTGACTGGGGGATTCTGAGGAATAAGGACAGTGATTACACTTGCCCCGAGTCTATGTCACTCACAATTACTGTGAGAACGTGTTTTCTTTTCCAATCAGTGAGTGACAGGATCAGTATCTGGTCATTTGCATCAGCACCTGGTGGTCCCAGGTAAGTGCCAAAATGTTAGCAAACGGTTTGCTCCCTTACCGGGTGCCAGGTTACTCCTCACAGCATAACTATTACAGAGAGCTAAAGTTATGATGCTTGGATTAGCCCTTTAACTGACAGACACAGTATTGTAAGAAATGTAAGCTCTATGGGGCAAATAGAACACAGAAGAATGAGCACAAAGATTTTAGCCTACATTTTCCAATCTGTTTTTTTATTCACTACAGTATGATGTTTCATGAATAAGCCCCTAATGTGTACTACTGGATCTTTTTGTGTCTGGAGGATCAATATACACAGCTGTAGAATATGTTATATATATATACACTGCTATATAAATAATAATAATAAAATGTATAATACTTCGGTAGCAGGCCATGCTTAATTGTTTTCAGGTGCTTAAGTACATTTTCCTCTTCTTCAAACTTAAATATTTCAATGGTAGTTTTATAATGTGGGTGATTAACCACAAACAGGTATACCGTGTCATCTAAGAGGACGATAAAAAATAAATAATTGGAATCATGCAGGAAAAAAACCAAACAAAAAAAAATAATCATAAAATGAACATTAATAATACTAATACTAATAATACTGTCAGCTACAATACTATTAACTCAATTTACAGGATAGATAACAGCTCGTCACCATTTTATTTTTAATTGTTTTTACTGTTTGGAGTTTTTTTTGAAATGCCTAAATGTTGACTTAATTTAAAAAAAAAAAGTGTGGTTCCCCAGGAGCCTAACGAACGAACGGGCGTTAAACAAAATTCTTCCATACGCCATTAGTTTATTTGCAAGTCGCGTACTGTCTGTAATTCAAAAGGCTGAATGCTTCATCCAAATGCACGAATGGCTCATTATTTCGGTGCCTTTTCTTTCTTTCTGCTCACTCCCATCATTTTGCCACAAAAACATTTGTTAACCTTGCTTCATAACTAAAATGCTCCATTCCTTTTATCAGATTTTGTAGCTCGTCTCTGCACTTTTTCTAGTGCCATAATATCCTTCTTTAGAACATGTGCACAATCCTGCACAGCATAGTCAAGGTTTGGTCCCACCAGAGATTTACAAAGAGACAAAATGAAATATTTTCCTTTTCTATGCAGTGTCTAACTGGGATTTTTAAAATCTTTGATATTACTTTGTCTTAACTGATGTAGTCGGAGTACTCACAACTGTAGAGTGCTCTTTCTTCTGCATTGTCCTAGTTTTCCTTCAGATCTACAGTCTGACTAGTGATCCTTTAATTAGGAAATGTAGTTATTTATAGAGTGTTCACCCTCTTGCAAATGGTCTCATTTAGTTTTTTGGTCATTTATTTAAATAAAAAGTTTTTGAATTATAATTGTGTTCTTCATATGAATATTTTTTGCTTTTTCTTTCAGTTACAATGTTTCTCTTTTTGGCAATGTTTTCTTTTGTCTTTGCTGCACTCTATCCAACCATATGCAACCGCATGCTGTTTTAATGTTTATGGGACTACTGGGCTGCCGGCACCATCCCTCGGTTTTCTCCCATCATCCCACGGGCTCAGTCTATAAAGGTCTATAAATGTAGATTTATTGAATATTGCTAATGCTGATGTAAAAATTGTGTATTAGCAATCTGGCAAGCAGGGGCTGGCCGTGACCATTTCCAGAAGCAGAAGTGGTCATGGTGGCTAAAGTAACGCTTTAAATACGAGCAACCTACCTTTTTCATCAATGTAAGTACTGATACCATGGGGACTAAATGTGGAGATATCAAACCCACTGCTGAAACGCAATGAGTTTGGACGCAGATTTTCTTCATTAAGATCCCACAGAAATATTTCTCCAGGTTTTTCAGGTGCCAAGCTTATTATACCAGGATATTTTACACCCTAAAAAAAATTAAATAAAAGATACATCATGCATTTTAATTTATTTGAAGAGTTGTTCATGACAATATTGCACAGTCGGCAATGAACAACTAAAATTACAGAAATAGAACTTTAGTGTGGGTTTTGGATTGGTTATAGTATTTGTTTCATAATAACAACAACAACAACAACAACAACAACAACAACACTAAAGGGCATTCCTGCTTTTCACATTTTTAAATTTTTAGTGAAATACTAAAAATGAGAAAGACATGGTTAGTGTAATTGAATGAACAGACATGTAAAAATAGATGACCAAAAAAATTTATGAAATTGTTACTTAAAGGGACACTATAGTCAAAAAACAACAACAACTGTAGCTTAATTAACAATTGTGTGTCTGTATATATTATGCCTCTGAAGTCTCACTGCTCAATTCTCTACCATTTAGGCGTTAAATCACTTCTGGTTCTGTTTATGCACAGGCTGCATAAAAAAAATAAATGGTTTCAATTTCAATCAGATATAAGATGTAACGTAATATTAAAGTTTTTATCTTCTGCTCTCTGAATTTGACTTTAATTACATACAGGAGTCTTCTGCAGGGTCTAGCAAGCTTTTAACATTGCAGGGGTTTAAGAAATTCTGAATTAAACAGAACTTGCAATAAAGGAAGTGTAAACATTAGATGACTCTTTACAGGAATTGTTTAGGAAGGCTGTGTAATTCACAAATGGAGGTTTGACTAGGGCTGCATAAGCAAAGTGATTAAACTTCTACATGGCAGAGAACTGAGCAATAAGACTGCAGGGACATGATCTATACTCCAAAACTACTTCATTACGCCAACATTGTTTTGGTGACTATAGTGTCCCTTTAACAAAAGGATTAACAGTTAGCTAGAACAGTTTTCTGGGTAGGTAGCAGGTGTAAAAACAATCAAATGATACTCTAATTGAGGGTATAGATCATGCCCCTGCAGTCTTAAAGGACCACTATAGGCACCCAGACCACTTCAGCAGCTTAATGAGGTGGTCTGGGTGCCTAGTCCAGCTAGGATTAACCCTTTTTTCTATAAACATAACAGTTTCAGAGAAACTCACTGACAGCCGCTAGAGGGCTTCCGCGCTTCTTACTGTGAAAAGCGTCCATAGGAAAGCATTGTGAATGCTTTCCTATGGACTGGCTGAATGTGCGCGCGGCTCCTGCCGCGCATGCGCATTCAGCTGAAGAGGAGGAGAGGAGGCGGAGAGCTCCCCGCCCGGCGCTGGAGAAAGAGGAAGTTTAACCCCTTCCTCTCCATCCAGCCCGGCGGGAGAGGGACCCTGAGGGTGGGGGCACCCTCAGGGCACTATAGTGCCAGGAAAACGAGTATGTTTTCCTGGCACTATAGTGGTCCTTTAATAATCAATTCTCATTCAAGAGTTAAATTGCTTTGTTCATTCACTTCTAGACACACCTGCCCTTACACAATCTATTTAAATACTTTCTAATAAAGAATCAATTGTTTTTATTTTTTAACGTACCTTATTGCACAGTGTGTTTAAAAGGTACCTATAGAGCAGAGTAAGTGATGAGAACCGCACCCAATCCCAACGGCCAAGGGTGCTCCAGAGCAGGACCAGCAATCCCAATATACAAAAAATATTTCATTTAGCAATTACTAAATAAGGGAGGTGCAGGTATACAAAAAATATTTCATTTAGCAATTACTAAATAAGGGAGGTGCAGCTTGAAAAAGACCTTTCCGGTCGAAACGTTGCGTTGCATTCTGTCATAATAAATCTGCCTGCGGCTTGAAGTTGGAGTGCCTGTGAGTTTTTTCCTCTTGGATAAAAGGTACCTATAGTCCCGAAACTAATTTCTACACTATAGGTTCCTTTATGTCCATCCTAATTTGCACTGTAAATATTCAAGTAAAACTACTACTACTCACTCCGTTTCCAGTGTCAGGACTCCAGCTCTGCCTCTGGTGAGGTCAGCAAGCATGCTGAAATCACCCGCGATCTTGTGTGATCCAATGCTTCTCATATGGATCGTATGCTTCACATATGATGAATTGGATTGTAGAACACATGTGCGGCAAAATGGTTAGCTAGAACAGTTTTCTGCTATAACTATTGCTTGACTTTCCAGACCAAGTTTTACTTTGTGTGGAGAAGGAAGCGCCTCTAGTGGCTGTCAGAAATAGACCCAACCCCACAATATAAACATTGAAGTTTCTACATTGCAGGGTTAAAACTAAAAGACCACGGCACCTAGAATGGGATGAAGTAGTGTTGGTAACTATAGTGTTTAATTTAGAAATTCCTTTAATTTAGAAATTCTTATCTCTTGCTCTATTAATAGCCTGCTAGAGACTGCAAGAGCATATTGTGTGTGATTAAAGTTCAATTAACAGAGTAGGAGAAAAAAAAACTTCTAAAGTAAACACACTGTGCTGTAATAGCAGATTGAAAAATTAAAACATTTCCCCATGGAGACTATTATTTAACTGTAGGGGTATGAGCTATGCACCAAAACTGCACGATGAAGCTAAAGTTGCTTTGAGTGAGATAATGCCTTTTTCCCACAGCCGTAGTTTGTGAAGGATGTAGTGAGTGCCAAAACTTGTCAACTTGAGAATTTAGCATAACACAAAGTGGCCCCTTATATGTACTTCTAGCCATAGATTTAGGAAGCGGGAGCAATCATGGTCTCAGAATATCTAGAGGGGGAGACTGGCGAGAGGGTTAAGATCTTCCAGTTATGATGGGGTAAATTTGAAAAATGATAATTGACTGTTTTACTAAGAAAGATGAGAAAACAAAAATACATTAAAGGAGTTGATAATCCAGACAAATTCTAAAACAATTATATTTCAACAAAAGAAACAAAAATATCAGTGGAAATATTGTTGAATTACTGTTTTTCTATTTGTGAGACATTGTATTATATTAAAAAAATGTGAGGTCAGATAGCTTAAAAGGAACTTTGGGCAGAGGAGAAGCAAGGGAGCTTAGGGCAGAGAAAAAACATTTAAGTTTGAAATGTCAGCAACTATATTAATTACAAACATTTTTTTAATATGAGGGGTACAATTTATGGAAATGGGCTATCAAAGGGTGCTTGAATGAAAAAAAAAAAAAATAGGTTTGGAACCACTGATACAGGCTATCTTATTCAACTTCCTGTTTGTGCAAAGTAAGGAGAGACATGAGGTTTCCAGTTACTTTCACTTTCCAAAAATGATTAATGGTGTATTGCTCCAAAAATACACTTCCCACAAGGACATATATTTAAATTTTCTGGAATTGCAAAGATTGTTCCCCTTTTGATGGATTACGCATACAAAAATAGTATAAATTTTCCCTGCATTATCCTCACCATAGTCAAACTGAAATGAGCACACGTTAATGTTTTAATACTTACAGAACTAATAAATGCCAATCCATTGGGAAGGATGTCAATATCTTCTGACCCATACTCTGTAAATAGTAAAATATCATATTCACTTAAGTTTATATCCTAAACAAACACTGAATTTAAATAGAAACTAAACCCAGACAATATAAGTCAGGACATATTTACACCTTTACACTGAGGCTGACTTCCCTGGCCGCAGGACATTTTTTGGCTGCCCCACGGCCCCTGTCCACCTTCCTCAGCCCCTGTCTCCCTTCCTCAGCCAGTCTACCCCTCTTAGCTCCTGTCTCCCATCTTCTCAGCTCCAGTTCCGCCCCCTTCTCAGCTCCAGTTCCCCCCTCTCAGCTCCAGTTCCCCCCCCTTCTCAGCTCCCCCCCATTCTCCCAGCTCCGGTCCCCCATTCTCAGCTCCGGTCCCCATTCTCAGCTCCGTCATTCTCAGCTCGGTTCCCCTCAGCCCTCGCCCCCTCCACTGTCCTCTTGGGACTCCGTCCCCTTCCTCAGCACCTGTTCCCACCTCTACAGCCTATGTGGCCCCCTTTACAGCAGTTGTTCCCCCTCTCAACAGCCTATGTGGCCCCTTCGATAGCCCCTGCCCCCTGCAGATCCTGTGCCCCTCTCACAGACCTTGCACCTTTCAACATAGCCCCAGAGCCCCCGTGTGCAGCCCCATGCCCCCCTTTACAACCCCTATTTTCTTACTACAGTCCCATAATATCCCCACTACAGCCCCTGTCCCCCCACTACAGCCCCCTACCACATTCCCTAACTGTTCAATTACAGCCACTACAACCCACTACCAATGCCATTCCCGGGATTAAGCTTTGGATCCGTCCCTGCTCTATATGCCTCTATCTGTATGACTATATGCATCTGTATGTGTAGATTATATGGCTGTGTGCTTGCATATCTCTGACTGGGGGGGGGAGGGGGGAGAAAGACACACAAAAAGTATGGGTGGGGGAAAGAGACACACAAAAGGTCTGGGGAAAGAAATACACAGGGGGGGTTATAAGAGACACACAAAAGGTCTGGGGAAAGAAATACACAGGGGGGTTATAAGAGACACACAAGATGGCCTTTACAGGAGGTGAAAAGGGTATACAATAACAACCATTCAGTGTTAGCCAGTAACTATTTACTATCACATGGCAGCTTTTAAGATCAAATGCAAACATTGTGTACAGTACAAAATTATTTTAAAAAAATTAGATCTGTCAGAGCTGGCAACGCCTGCTAACCCATCCGCAGCGACACCTGAACCAGTACAGGTGGATTTAGACTGACACCTTCACAGAGGCCCCAACATCCCAGCAATACCAACAAACACACACAACCTAGAATTACTGTACAGTTACGTCCGGACCTATACACTACCCGGACAGGGAAAACCCACGCCCCCAGCCACCTCTGGCAGGGTGTAAGATCAGAGTTTTAATTTATGTTTGTTTATGTTTATGTATATCTTTCAATTGCTAACGGTGTAATTTCCTTTTGCAGTAAAGGTTCTCTACAAAACGTCTCCACAGACAAGGCCACACCACAAACCGTTACTGCTGCTGCCCACGGCTCGGGCGAGGGGGATCCACCCACGGAAAGTGGGAAACAGATCACACAACAAAGTAGGTGCTCAAACAAACACACCACTACACCCCTAGTGTCACACCCTACACATGGCCCTGAAAATTGCCTCTCTCAATGTTAAGGGACTGAACACCCCGAACAAATGCAGGTTACTGTTAAGGGATCTGAAATCACGCAAAACAGACATTGCCCTTATACAAGAAACCCACATACCCAGAACAGCATCAGTAACCCTGAAAGACAGATACTTCCCACAGACCCACGAAGCGAGAGCGCTACTCAAACGCGCCGGAGTGGCAATATTAGTACACAAAAACTGCCCACTCCAGGTGACAGGGACACTAGCTGACCCAGAGGGCCGCTACATCGTAATAACAGGCACCATACACAGCACAAAAATAAGAATCATTAATGTGTACGCTCCTAACATACCAGATCCTACATACTGGGACACTCTCACGACAATAATTAACGCTGAAGGGGGAGGGATTACACTGGTGGGGGGCGACTTTAACGCCGTACCAAGTCCGGCAATCGACAGAAGCACGAAAACAGGCTCACCCAGGTCCCAGGGGAGAGGAGCACAGGACAAGCTACTGCACACATTCCTTACGAACACACAGCTCCTAGACTCCTGGAGGCTCCAGCATCCAGACACACGTGACTACACGTTCTATTCGGCGCCCCACGGCACATACTCGAGAATTGACCACATCTTTCTCAACGAAGTAGGGATGTCCAAGCTCGTGCATACTGACATAGGCAGTATCACTTGGTCGGACCATGCGGACATATCAATTACGTTACACAAACTCAAATACTCCGCCACATGGACCTGGCGCCTTAACACAAGCCTATTAAATAGTGACACTATATGCGAAGACACGCGTACCCTACTCACAGAATACTTCACACAAAACACCACACCTGAGGTGGACCCTGTAGCGCTATGGGCAGCCCACAAAGCGGTCATGAGAGGACACTTCATTAGAGCAGCAACACTCGAGCACTAATAGAACTTCAGAACGCTTTGAGAAAAGCGGAACAACAGCACAAACAAAACCTCACAGTCGAAAAACTAGCGTAACTCACCGCTCTACGACACTCAATCAGGGGGATCCTGCTCGAGGGGGTCGCACACTCCATTCAGAGATCTAGACGACTGTTCTACGAAGTCCAACAAGATGGACTCCCTACTAGCCAGAGCACTGCGCCCCCGTGGAGACCACAAACCCATCACGAGACTACGCACACTCACCCAGAAACTAGCGACGACCCCCCAAGATATTAACAGGGTATTCACGGAGTTCTACTCGAACCTCTACGGGCAAGCCCAACACTCACAAAACACACCGGAACAACTACGTTCCTCACTACGTACATTCCTTACCAGCATAAAGCTACCTCAGATAACAGATATAGACCCCACAAACTTACAAGAACCCATCTCCCAATTAGAAGTAGAAACCGCTATAGCGATCTTAAAAGGTAACAAAGCCCCAGGCCCCGACGGTTACGAAATAGGGTACTACAAGAAATTCAAAGAAGAGCTGGCCCCCCACCTCACTTCTTTATATAACCACTTTATGACTGGGGGTGCACCCGATGCCGACATGGTATTGGCCAACATTACACTTATCCTGAAACCTGGGAAAGACGGTGAGCTCACATCGAATTACAGGCCCATCTCGCTGATCAATGTGGACCTTAAAATATATGCAAAAATCCTGGCGGCCAGGCTGGCGCCGATGCTAACACGCTTAATCCACCCGGACCAGGTGGGATTCATCCCCGGTAGACAACTTTATGAAAACACACGTAGGGGGGCGGTGCTCACATGGTACATGCAAAAATCTGAACTGCCTTCACTGGCCATCTCCCTGGACGCGGAGAAGGCCTTTGACAGAGTGCAATGGCCATATCTATTTGGCCTGCTGGAAGAATGGGGCTTCCCAGAAGCCTACATCCAGGCCACACGCACCTTATATACTAACCTGAGAGCACAAACCCTTATAGCAGGAGCCACTAAGACGCCCTTCCACCTTCATAGCGGTACACGCCAGGGATGCCCCCTATCCCCACTGCTATTCGCCATCTCCCTAGAACTGTTACTACAAGCCGTACGCCAACACCCCCACATACAAGGAATAAGGGTAGCAGGGAAAACCTTCAAAGTCTCCGCTTATGCAGACGACGTGCTGCTGACTCTCACAGACCCCTTGACCTCCATGGAACATCTGACCGACCTCCTAGACAAGTACGGATCCCTTGCGGGTTATAGAGTGAACCTGGTCAAATCCATGGCACTACCATTCCACCTCCGGACCCAAGATAAAGCCATAATACACAACAGATACCAACTATCCATCACAGCTGACAACATACCCTATCTAGGGGTCAAACTTACAGCACAGTACGAACACCTACACGACACTAACTACTCCCCATTGCTCCGTACACTCCTGAGAGACCTAGAGCAGTGGACGGACAAACCAATTTCATGGTTAGGAAGACTCCAGTCAATTAAGATGAATATTCTACCCAGGTTACTATTCATGTTCCAGGCCCTGCCCACACAGGTTAAGAGGAGTGACTTATCCACACTCTAAAAAGCAACAGACATGCTCATTTGGCAAAAGAAACGACCGAGAATAGCCAGGAAACTCTTGTACAGACCCAAGGATAGAGGGGGACTGGGACTACCGAACATGTACCTATACTATCTAGCAGCGCAGACAGCGCAAATAGCATATTGGCACTCCACACCAGACACCCGTCGATGGGTAGAACTCGAAACCTCACTAATGGGGCAAGATCTACCACAGTTCTGCCCCTGGCTACACACAGAGCACTCCCTAGAGTGACCTGCCCAGCAATAACGAACTCCCTAAGAATTTGGGACCTAACAGCAACCAAATACTCCTTAAGCAGGTTCCCCTCTCCAATGTCCCCGGTACTCAGGAACCGATCCTTCCCACCAGGTATGACAGCGGGTGACTTTAGCGGCCTCGAGAGAGCAGGCATCCAGAAATATTGCCACCTATATAAAAACGGCCAAGTAGTCACATACGACCAGCTCAGGGAACAACCCCCCTTTACACCAAGGACTTCTTCCGCTACCTCCAATTACGAGACTTTGCTAGCTCAAAAGAAGTCAAGGAGACGGCCACTCTCCCACTCATCTGGTTCAAGAATATATGCTACCAGGAAAAACACCCCAGTCGACTCATATTGTTACTATACTCCCACCTTAGCGGGGAGGCCAAAGAATGGGGGGAGCTACGATACACAGACAAGTGGGAGACAGACCTGGGTGAGACATTAGAGGGCTCTGACTGGCAGGACATTTGGGAGGCCACAGCCCGATCATCAATATGTGTCACACTTTTCAGGTGGTACACCACACCATTAAAACAATTCCGCATGCGCATCACCCCCACAGATCTGTGCTGGCACGGCTGCGGGGAAGAAGGCACCTATGTGCACATGTGGTGGAAGTGCCCCTTGGTACAGACCTACTGGGTCCAAATTATCAACCTAAGCACTAACATAGTGCAGAGACCACTAAAACTAGACCCCTGGGCCTGCCTCCTCCTCTCTAGGCCAACAGATGGCCTTCCATGCCCAGAGCAACAACTGTTAAATATGATATACTTAGCGGCCCGTAGAGCACTAGCACAGAAATGGCTATGTCCAGAAATGCCCCCAGTAGCACTGGTAGTAGCGAAGATAATAGATAATTACCTTATGGACAGATTAACTTCCCTGGTCAGGCATACCACCAAAAAATTTAGCAAAATATGGGATCTATGGGAACAATATCAGGAAAACAAGGAGGGCGGACAGGGGAACCGAACACACATCTAGGGCTAACGACAGGGACACACACGACCCCCCCCCTCGTCCGAGCCGTGGAAACAGAAGCACCAGTTCACCGTATCACTAAACACAATATTTCTGGTTAATACTGGATTTTAGAATACCTGTTATAATATGTTTAGTTAACAAGCGTACAAAACCATACTAATTGAAGTGACATACGTATTCAAGGCAAGACCTCACCAAGCAGAGTTGTCTCAGCACACCAAGAGATGACAAATTAACCGCCGACAAGACTAGCGGCGACAGAGACCATAACTCTTGCCTTGACGTAATCACCCTTACCAATGTGTAATTGAACCATCAGAAAACGCAATGCGGCTTCTACGTAAGCCAATGAACTGTCATAACTGTCTTTCGCAAACCTATGCATTGTCACACATGTATGCACTTCTCTTGTGGCTTCTGCGTAAGCCTAGTCATTGGCACACATATGCACTTCCTTTTACTATGAAAAATAAAGAATAAAAAAAAATAATAATTTGATCTGTTTTGTTGTCTGGCATAGCCATTGCATTGGCATTTTTTTTTTTTTTTTTAAGGTATGAATGCTTCTACCTCAATATGTATATTTTCCCCACAAACAGCCAAAGTACAAAGACCATTCAATAAATGAACCGGTTTTATTTACTGAAACTAGCTCAGGGCTTGACAAGTTTGCTTGGAATCTAGGAGCCAGTTAAAAAAGTTAAGAGTCATGTTTTTCAAAGCAAAAATTACAATTTGTACTCTCTAGTCACCAGAACCACTACAACTTAATGTAGATTTTCTAAAGTCTATATCCTGTCCCTGCATGCTTTTCAATGTAAACACTGACTTTTTAGACATAAGGCAGAATTTACATTGCTGCCTGGTGACACCTCTAGTGACAGTCACTCAGACGGTCTCTAGAGGTGCTTAATTGGTCAGTGCTTCACACTGTGCAGCAACTACGTTAATATTCCTTATAGGGATGCATTGATTCAATGAGGAGAAGTTGATTGGTGCAGTGGTATTTTGCTGTGCATGCGCAATAGTCTCTGAATGCTTTCCTATGGGTAAGCATTGGATTGTCTGAGATCGTCAAGATTGATAATCTCCACCATGGACGTGGGGGTCAGCCGCGGCGTCACGAGCACAACGTGGGAAAAGGGTGAGTAAAAACACCTTTACCATGTGATTGGAGGGGAGCAGATCATCTAAACACACACTGACTGAGACACACATGCACACACACAGACAATTACTTTTTTTATTTTAAATTAAATCCACCCAGCCTTCCTACCTTTGGAGAGCTGGAGTGGATAGGCTTTCCCTGGGGACCAGTGGGGCTGCTGTCATCTCCCTGCTCAGCTTCATCGCTGGGCAGGAGTGATGTCATATTCCGGCTCCTGGCATCACTGCAAGGTGCGAGAGGGAGCAGAGCAATTACAGCTCCCTCCCTTCTCGGCCTCCATGCTCAGTAAGCCGCTCGACTCCCTCAGATCTTCAAGAGTCAGCTGCCCCTTACTTCAGTCAGCCACCAGCCTCCCTCCCTCAACTCTCAATGTGCCAGCCGCCTCCCTCCCTAAGCTCTCCATGAGCCGGCTGCCGCTGCCCGCCTGACTCAGCCCTCCGTGAGCAGACTGCTCGCCTCTGCTCTTAGGCAGCTGGTCACCTCTGGGACTGAACAGGCTCACAAATCCAAGGTGCCAGGACAAATGTCCTAATGGCCGCGACGACCTGGGATTTGTCTAGCCCAGAACTAGTTCAATAGTAAAATGCATAAATTTATTTTTATGGCAGTCTATGGTAGATGTTAAGAGTACAACTAGTGAATTACAAACATGTGAGTGGAAATGAATATAAAGAGACCCAGACTGAAGAAGGAATATGGGAATGGAGGTCTACAAGACTAGAGATCCGATGCAAGCAGTCAACACATTATTGTAATCCTGTCTAGGTTATTAAAAGCAAATAAATATATGCTACCAGCAAAGACTTTTTTTTGTCAAAAAGCCTCTGAACATCAGAGAGTAAACATGGTAATTGTAATGTTAAATGGGACAGTAAAGAAAAGGGAATGGAGTCGGAAAGGAGGAGAGGGAAAGTGAAAGTCTGGGAAGGAGATCAGTCAGACTGATTTCTAGTCCCAAATAAACAGTAAAAGTAAGTGAATGAACCCATAAAGTGATTTTAAAAAATGTATTAATTATTTCCGGCCCAGTAAGTGACGCCCATCTTTAAACATAAATCACTTTTTATAGTAAAGCATATTCTCATGCCGTTTTAATGCTATTAACACTGTTAATGTCAGCTCTGTGCAATATAAACAAAGCAATATACAAGATTTAAAGGAACACTCCACACCCCAAAACACTTCAGCTTGCTGAAGTGCTTTATGGGTGAGTAGTCTCCTAGTTTAAACCCAGTTTATTTAGCTGTTGATTTCTATGAGAAATCAGCACTTTTATAAAATAACTAGGGAACTCATCCCTGGCTGTCAGACAACCGGGGCTGATTCCTTCCTACTTCCAGTAGCGTGTGCCTGCCTTCTCCTTCCTCCCTCACAGACCCCAGAGCAGCTCCTCAGCTTCAGACATGCACACAGGACAGGGGATTTGCACGTGCACGTGGGGACCAAGTCAGAGGCTTCTCAATGAGAAGCCTCTGATTGGTTATTTCCCTGTGAAGAGACTGAAGGTCTCTTCTGGGAAAAAAGGGGAGGGCTTACAAAGGCTGCAGTCATAAGAACTGCAGCTCTTGTAAGCTCTTTTAGACTATACTCCCAATTTATTTATTTATATTTATAAAATATTTAACCAGGAAAGATACATTGAGATTTCTCTTGTTTTCAAGTATGTCCTAGTACGTCCGTTTTCAAGTAGGTCAAGTATGTTCACAAAACATTGCAATGATACAATAAAATACAAAACAATATTAATACACAATTTAACATAGAACAGGTAAGAAATAATCAACCATGACAGGTGCATTCTGTTTTGAGATATGTAGAGATGGATCTCTTAAAAGGATTTTAGGCCTGGGGAAGATTTGAAAGTGTGCGAGAGGTCGTTCCATAATTGTGGTGCTCTGTAGGTAAAAGAGGATCAAGACGCTTTCTTTTTGTATTGAGGTAGACTAAATATCGTGCTGGTACTGGATCGGAGTTCATAGGAGGTGGGAACAGCCGCGGAGAGCATTCTGCTCAGGTAGGATGGGAGCTTCCCAAAAAAACTATCACAAGGCTGTAAAGATGAAGTGTGCGTCTGGATTCCAGCGACAGCCAGTTTAGTTCTTTTAGCATGTCACAGTGGTGGGTCCTGTAATTACATTGTAGCACAAATCGGCAGAACGAGTTTATCGAGAGGAGTTTGCGGTGCAGGTGCATATACTACATCCCCATAATCAAGGATTGGCATCAGCATTTGCTGTACAATCTTTTCCTTTACTGTAGGGCTTAGGCAGGATTTGTTTCTGTACAGGGCACCTAGTTTTGGATAAAGTTTAGATGCAAGTTTTTCTATGTGGAGGCCAAAAGATGGATTGGGGTCTAACAACATACCCAAGTATTTGAAAGAGTGGACCGCGGTCAGTGTGCCATTTGAATTTGTTTTGATGGATAGGTGGGAATTGTGTAATTTGTGTAATTTAGGTACTGTTCCAGAGATCATTGTGACAGTTTTGTCAGTGTTCAGGAAGAGTTTGTTTTTTGCAATCCACTTTTCTACCTCTGTAAACTGGTCTTGGAGCACAGCCTCAAGCTGTGGTAGATTGGATTTGCTTGCATAGATTACTGTGTCGTCTGCGTGCATGTGAGGATTTTCAGACATTAGGCAGATCATTTATAAATAATTTGAATAGTAGGGGGCTGAGAATGGAACCTTGGGGAACACCACACGTGACTGGGAGAGGGAGGGAGTCGCTGTCAGAAATGGACACATATTGTGATCGATCGGATACATATGATCGAAACCAGGTTAGCAGAGATCACCAATGCCTGTGTTTTTTGGTTTGTGCAGTAGAATGTCATAGTCTACCGTGTCAAAGGCCTTTGCAAAATCAAGGAAAATAGCTCCAGTTAGGTCTCCTTATTCCATGCCAGTTTGAATGTCATTGCAAACTGTGTATTCATTTGGGGTATATCTACTAATCTGTGGGGGGTGGTTGATTATTTTTTTGTTGTAGAAGTGTAGAGTGGTCCTTTAATATTAAAAACAATAAAAAAAAATGTATTACAAAGACTTCTCAAATATTTCTCAAGGTTTTGCCCCTGTGCATATAAAAATGCCCTCTAAAATCAGAATTGCAACATCTTATACTAATGAATAGTAAATAATTTCAGATCTGAAAAGCAAATATAGACATGCACAGATATCCAAAGTCTAGATCCAATGTGTCAATAGCCACAATGTTATTTCAAAACCTCTAGAACACTTAACTTTTTTTTGTTTAATGAATAATCTATTAGTATAAGAAAGGGGTTGCCAATCTTCATGTATATAAGTGCCCAAAAAATGTAAAATATTCAAGAGCCTCAATTAAATTTATTGGAATATTCAACAAAGCCAAATTCATTCCCCCTCCCCTCTCCTCACTCCCCCATGGGTCTGATTCGCCCAGTCTAAAGAGCTGCATATGTCTGGTATAAGGCTATTAAAGTAAAATGTACCAGGTCTCATAAATTAAATACTTTGTACAAAACTTGCACTCGATGGCCCAACTTCAACTTTCCCAGGTGCTAGATGTGGACACTATACACAATAACACAAAATTCCACACTCTTAACCCCTTAAGGACCAAACTTCTGGAATAAAAGGAAATCATGACATGTCACACATGTCATGTGTCCTTAAGGGGTTAAAGGGACACTATATAGTCACCTGAACAACTTTAGCTTAATGAAGCAGTTTTGGTGTATAGAACATGACCCTGGAGCCTCACTGCTCAATCCTCTGCCATTTAGAAGTTAAATCCCTTTGTTTATGAACCCTAGTCACACCTCCCTGCATGTGACTTGCACAGCCTTCCATAAACACTTCCTGTAAAGAGAGCCATTTTTAGGCTTTCTTTATTGCAAGTTCTATTTAATTAAGATTTTCTTATCCCCTGCTATGTTAATAGCTTGCTAGACCCTGCAAGAGCCTCCTGTATGTGATTAAAGTTCAATTTAGAGATTGAGATACAATTATTTAAGGTAAAGTACATCTGTTTGAAAGTGAAACCAGTTTTTTTTTTTTTTCATGCAGGCTCTGTCAATCATAGCCAGGGGAGGTGTGGCTAGGGCTGCATAAACAGAAACATAGTGATTTAACTCCTAAATGACAGTGAATTGAGCAGTGAAATTGCAGGGGAATGATCTATACACTAAAACTGCTTTATTTAGCTAAAGTAATTTAGATGACTATAGTGTTCCTTTAAATCATCTTAAATCAACACTATAGGATTAGTAATGCAAACCTCTATTCCTAACACTATAAGTGTTCTCCTCTTTATGGATTTTCATGGTCACCCCTAAATCTAAAACACAATTGTGGGGGGGAGGGGAGATTTAGTTACCTTTTTTCCCCCAGTGTTGAGATCAAGTCCTCTGGAGCTTCTAAATGTCCAATCCAATGCTCCTCAAAGAAGGGGCAATAAGCACCTGTGTAACCTCCCATTGGAGGTTAGCTGTGAATTTGGCTTGTTTCTAACAGAGGAAGTGTCTGTAGTAGCTGTCAGGTAGACAGCCACTAGTGTCATATTTAACCCTGGGATATAAGATTTGAATATATACTAAACAGCAATGCCTTACTTACATTGCAGGTTCAAAATTAAAGGACTACAGCAAGACCACGTCATTGGTGCCTTTATTGGAAGTTTAGTACAAGGTTAATATATTGCTTAAATATGCTAAACACAGAAACAATGTCTCATAAATTAGATTGTTGTTTATAAAAACATTTTTAAAACAATTTAAAAAAAAAACAATTGTATTTATCGCTTAAATTAGATTATTGGAAAAATCTAGTGTAACTGTTCATGTTTGAGCATAAGCCTACGGTTTTAGAGAGTTTCCATAGCTTTTCATCCTGATATTTTAAAGGGATATTATAGTGTCAGGAATACAAACCCGTGTTCTTTCTACCATTTTAGATGCTCTTGAACCCTAAACCCCACTGTAGCACCATATTTTCTTATATTTTTTCATCATATTTTCCATCTTTAAACCCCTTCTCCTTTTTCAGAATATTTTGTGTATTTATGATCAAAACAGATCTGGAGTTACCCTGCAGAACAGCAGTCCAAGCAGGATACCGTGAAGGGAAAAGGACAAGCAGCTGAATATGATTAAGTCCCCGGCCTCTGTCTGCTCTATGATCAGGCCGTGCTCCCCATAAGTCTACTGAAACATTTTGTTTTGACCTGTTTTAGGATAATATAAATAAATAAATAAATAAAATTAAAAAAAAAAAAAAACACACCTCATGATGTCAGCAGGAGCAAAATGGTAGACTACACAAATATATATTACACTCGATTAGAAAGACAATTAATATCGTTATTTACAATACTAAAACAACACAGAGGAGAAACAAGCCGCATACAGTAACTTTTTAAATATGCATACAGTATTTTGTCTGATATTGCATGTTCTCTGAATGTAAAGTTTAAGGTGTCAGACTGCTCTATTTTCCCCAAGGTGGAGAGGAATTTATTTAAATTTTTATAGCAGTACTTGGCAGACACAACATTCCATTTATAGATTCTCTGCAAATGAATAAATGTATTTTTTTATTTTGTTACTATTGCCCTATGAGTAAATACTACAGATTTGACATACACATGACAATCTCATTCCATGATTCCTAGTGTATATTTGGGGCACACCTGTGTCATTCCAGTGGGTAGTCGGGGTATGCACACTAGCCCATTTCCTTCTGGTAGCCATTTTTGAGCGGTAAATCAGCACATTGCTGTATATACATTTACTGTTATTTTCACCACCTCAATGCATATTAAAAACGTACTGAATACTACCATATCATTTTGGTAACAAACAGTCCATTTTAAACCAATTCAATTGAAAGCATAGTATAAAGTACACAAGAAAGGAGCTACAGAATGCAACAGTTAGTGCCAGCAGTTACATTTTTCAGCTAATAGTAAATTCCGTAGATTCCTAACACGTTACCTAGCTCTTAAAAATATCAGAATGGTCCCATGAACGGTTTCCATTTCTCTCCTAAATTCTACAGACATTTGTCAATCCCTTACTGACCTGAATTAACATCCCAATAAATAAATATTAACCGTACGTCATGCATTGTGTAATAGGTTGCATTACAATGACCTTTATGACAAACAGAGAGCAAAGCAAAGTATCTCACTTATTGCACAAAACCTGGATATGTTTGTGCATTTATAATAAGTAATGCAGGTCAAGGCCCTTTACTCTGTAATGTGGATCAGATTTTCACGTGGTTGAGAGCCCCTTTAAAGGTACTTTATAGACAGACATTTAGGCCACTTCATCTAATTGAAGTGGTTTGGGTGCAGTGCCCCTATCCCCTTAATCCTGCAATCTAAAACATAGCAGTTTTGTAGAAACTGCAATGTTTACATTAGAAGGTTAAGACTGCCTCTAGTGGTTTACAGCTTTGTATTCCGATCACTATAGTGTTCCCCTTAAGGACCAGACTTCTGGAATAAAAGGGAATCATGACATGTCACACATGTCATGTGTCCTTAAGGGGTTAAGTTTAAGAATAAGATACATACCAATCCCTTTCAATAACTGACAGTTGGGAAGGTCTATGGGTTCCACCTCTCGTGAAAAGTTCAACCGATGGCTAAATGATGAAATGGAGAAAAAAATAAATTATTATTTAATGTTCAGGTTCATTATTCTAGTTACAGTTAAAAAAAAAAACGGTTTATAGAACAGAGTGGTTTTGTTTAATGCTAACACATACAAGGTTATTCATTAAGGGGAGCATTTCAAATTCAAGGCCAAAATAGACAAACTATAAACATAGCTTACCTGGAGACGTTTTCCTATTCGGCTATATTAGCCTAAAATTGGAAAACTACAGACTTTTCACTTTTGTGAATAATCCTGTTAATATCAAATCAACAACTGTATATTTAACTTACAAAAACATAGGTAATCTCAACTACATTACCAAAAAATACATGTAAAAAAAATAAAGTCATTTGGTAGCGGCCACTTTATTCAATATATTTTTTTAACAATCGGGCGTAGAGTTATTTGCAACTCATTATATAAAGAAAGAATCACAATATCAAAAATAAAATGAGTACCCTTAAAACAAACTGCACATCATCTGAACATCACTGCATTATTTCCTGATATACATCTGTTTATGGCTAGAGTCTAGTCTTCTTTAGATGAATACTTCTATCAATGTATGACAATACACACAGTGAGAGATTTATCAAAGTCTTCTGTTCTAAAATGTGATTCAAAAACGTAAAAGGAGAGTCATCACCAATGAAATATGCCTGCTTGTTGCAATGGTTTCCATAGTGATTGCTCCACGTTTAGTGCTTCATACCCTCAATATTGGTGTCCCAAGAGGCAGGATGCTAGTGAAGCAAATTCCGTCACTGGCACTGTCCAAAGAGGACAGACTTGCCCAGAATGGGGACGGGTCTATATAAAGAATGCACTCCAGGCAGGCCAGTCCATCAAGGTCAGACCATGCAATTAGCACAGTTTCAGTCCTGAGCAAATGCAGGACACCAGGGAATGGTGGGGCAAAATCCTGAAATCTGGACTGTTCCTCAAAAATCAGGAGTGTTGGGGTACTACAGACCTGGGTCCTCAAGGTTCTGATTTGGTTTTCAACTATAATTAATGGTTTAGCAAACAGATCCCATAGTAAGTTTTGAGAAATAGAAATAAAATAATAATAAAAAAAGTAGTAAACATTCTGGCTGAGCTTTTAGAAAGAAGGACTATTAACCCCTTAAGGACCAAACTTCTGGAATAAAAGGGAATCATGACGTCACACATGTCATATGTCCTTAAGGGGTTAAAGTCCATCATACCACAATATCCTGATATTTGTTTATACCTAGACTGACTGTTTAATAACCTTCTATAACTAATTCTAAGTACCCTAGCTCTATGCCTGCTTAGAGTGGATTATAACTACTCTAGTAGTAACAATATGGTTTAAAATGACTTTAAACTGATTTATCTTCCTCATTAAAAAAGTCAGTTATAAAGAGGTTTTTACTTCACATTCCAGGCTTGAATGAAGACCATAAATAGTTAAGCTGCACTTCCTGCATCTGCAAAATGTATTATTTCACTTGCAGTGGGAGTCTAGTAGCATATCTACATAATCTGACTGTGCCTAAACTGAAGGACAGCACATGTAAGCCACTGGCCATTGATTGAGGAGCACTGTAAAATGTGATAATCAATTCTCCCAAAGCAGAGCTTAGTTCTTGTGTTTATTCAAATAATTTTAACTACTACAGCATCCGGTATTCGGATTCTAAAGGTTAAGTGTGTCTGGTTTTTTTCATTCCGTTCTCAAACCAGTTTACAAAAAGTGTCAAAATTGCCTCGGGTGTAAAAATAAGGGATTTTAGTTCATTTAAACAGCACAAATATTTGCCCGCTTTGCAATGATAGGCTGTGATCACTGAGCTATAGAATACCTCCCAAGTTTCCCTATTATGGGGCTTATCTATTTTTGGTTCAAGTCCCTCCGTCCCACTTTTTCTATTCTTTTGTCCCTCTTTTCCTCTAGGAGCTCAATTTTGTTGGTGTGTCAACAGAGCTTCACAGTAAATGTCCTTGTAAGTTGTCTTTAAACTGAAATAAATATGCGTTTAGAAATCATATAAATAAGATACAGTTTTCTTGCTCTAAATTACATTTTAGTTATTAGTAAGTCACCCAAAATGTCTCGTGGCCTCGTCCCTGGCCACACTCATACCATCACACCTAAAATGGAAGAGTCCCACTTTGTCCATTCGAAATGTTGGGAGGTATGCTATAGCAAATATTGTCTGTGTGTGTGTATACGTATATACACACACATATTGGCTCCCAACCTCCCCACACAATATATGTATGTATCTTTTTAAAGCCAGTTTAGTGAATGGGGAGTTACTGATTGGCTGAAAGCATCAGCTGACCGCTCTAAGCCAGTCAGTGGTGTACAAACTAACCCAGCACCCAAACACTGCCCACAGCATTCATAATCTAACCCAGCACCCAAACACTGCCCACAGCAATCAAAATCTAACCCTGCATACAAAAACACTGCCCACAGCAATCAAAATCTAACCCTGCATACAAAAACACTGCCCACAGCAATCAAAATCTAACCCTGCATACAAAAACACTGCCCACAGCATTCGTAATCTAACCCAGCATACAAAAACACTGCCCACAATATCCACAAACTGACCTCATCAGCATACACTAAATAAACCCTGCATACAGTACCAGCACCACCAACAGCATTTACAGACTAACCTCAACATTCACACACTGTAAACAATACAACAAAGCACTCACATGCAGTGGCGGACTGGCCAGGGTGTCAGCTTGCTCGATGGCAAGTGGGCCCCCTTAAACAACTATGTAAAAAAAAATGCCTTCTTTAACGTGGCAGCGGAGAAAAAGTGGCAGCTGCGGGGCCCAAAACAACTGTCCCTTAAGCCTGCAACAATCTCTGCACTGCGCGCATTTGTTTTTTATTACACTATTACGCATAGTGTTCAACTTGCTCCTCCCCTGCGGCTGTAGCATGACAGCTCATGCAGAGACGGAGTCAAGCTAGGGTCACACTGCAACGGCAGTGCGACATACACAATTACTCACATACACTGTCAGGACATACATACACAATTACACACTGACAGACATACATACACACACAATCACTTAGACATACACACACTGACAGCCCCCCCTCATCCCCTCCCCAAACATTAACCGATAACTTTTATTATTTTTTTTTAATCTAAATCCCTATTTTTGAGAGTGCTGGGTGGATTTTTTTTACCTGGGGTCCAGTGGGGCTTTTCACAGGAAGGGAGGCATGAGACGGTTGTCCGGCTAAAAATCCGGTCGGGCGGCGCTGACGTCATATTCCGGCTCCCAGCATCACTCTGCGGCGCGCGAGGGAGCTGAGCAAAGAGCTATGGGGAAAGTGCTCCCTCGCCAGCGCTGCCCGACCGGATTTTTAGCCGGACAACTGCCGGTCTGGACTGTTAGCCGCCAGGCTATCAAGGCATTTGCCCAGGCATTTGGGGGCGGCGTTTTTTGCCGCCCCCTGGAAATTGCCGCCCAAGGCAAATGCCTTGTTTGCCTCACAGCTAATATGTCCCTGGTTGTAATCCAAGAAGACGCATTTACAAAAGGTTAACTGCATACAATTTGTCGGTGACAAACCCATACTTATGGTATATTTTTTCTTATTCTTTTTATTTAGAGCATGGGTCGTCAACCTGGTCCCTACCGCCCACTAGTGGGCGTTTCAGGATTCCAGGTGGGCGGTAGGGATTTCAGAGATTGGGTGGGCGGGTGCGAGCCGGCGGTACCCGTGCGACCGGGTACCGCCGTCACCATTTTCCTGCCCGACCCGCGTGGCAAACCGCCGGGGCCGCCACCCAAGGGGTCCATCGGGTGGCCCATGCTGTCAGGGCCACACGATGGATGTGGATTGAGAGGGGGCCCGGTCAGCGCTGGGCGCTTTAACAGCGCGACCGGGCCCCCTATTATGACATCACACGCTGGGAGGAAGTGACTACACGTCACTCCTCCCAGCTAAAACTGAGAGCCGCGCCGGAGTGAGACCAGGGAGTCAGAGTGGGAACTCTAACTCCCATGCACTTGAGCCACCACTGGACCCCAGGGAAAGTCAATATTTTGTGTGTGTTTGTGTGTGTCTATGTGTCTTTGTATGTATGTCTTGTGTGTGTCTTGTGTGTGTGTGTGTCTATGTATGTATGTCTTGTGTATGTCTTGTGTGTGTCTATGTATGTATGTCTTGTGTGTGTCTATGTATGTATGTCTTGTGTGTGTGTGTGTGTGTCTGTATATATGTGTGTGTGTATGTATGTGTGTCTTGTCTTTGTATGTATGTGTCTTGTGTCTGTCTGTATGTGTGTATGTGTACCTGTCTGTATGTATGTGTACCTGTCTGTTTGTATGGATGTGTACCTGTCTGTTTGTATGGATGTGTGTGTCTGTATGTATGTGTGCGTGTGTCTGTATGTATGTGTGCCTGTCTGTATGCATGTGTCTTGTGTGTGTGTGTGTGTGTGTGTGTGTGTGTGTCTGTATGTGTGCCTGTCTGTTTTTCTGTATGTATGTATGTATGTGTGCCTGTCTGTGTGTCTGTATGTGTGCCTGTATGTGTGCCTGTATGTTTGTATGTATGTGTCTTTTTATGTGTGTGTGTGTGTATGTATGTGTGCCTGTCTGTTATAGTGGGCTATAGTAAGTGGGCTACCGAGCTAAGCCTTCCTACTGGGCATTGCTATAAGGAAGGTTAAAAAAAAAAAGGGATAAAAAAGGTGGGGAGGGGAATTGAGGAGGGAGATGAGATGAGCTGACGCACAGATGAGAAATCATATTATGCGCAAACAGAGAAGTCGTCTGAATATCACCGAAAGAGGAGACCTTTGTTTGTTCCTTACGGAAATCGAACCAGATATCAAATACTTAGTCTTGCAGCATCAGCCTCAAGGATCTCATTAATCACTAGTAAAGGTAATTTCAATTTACTTTATTGTTTTCCAATTAAAATTTATAAAGTTAAAAACATTATAAACATGCATTATGTAGAAATAAAAAGATAAATGTACATACTTTTATTTTTTTTAAAACACCCTCCTTTCTAATAAATATTCTGCACTTGCGCGAAAACTGGTAGGCGGTAAGGAAATTTTTCCATCAAGAAAGATGCATTAGTGGGCGGTAGGTAGAAAAAGGTTGACTACCACTGATTTAGAGGATTTGATATACATTTTTTTTTAAACCAATACATGGCGATGCAGGGCACTGTAAACCTAGAAATAGTCCAATCTTACTCTCCCTACAGAAAGTTTATGTTTAATAGACACTGCAACCATTCCTTAAAAGGACCAATATAGGCACCCAGACCACGTCAACTTAATGAAGTGGTCTGGGTGCCAAGTCCATCTAGGGTTAACCCTGCCTGCTGAGGCTATGGCTATGTTTACATATGGGTTATTTCAGCCTCTAGTGGCTGTCTCATTGACAGCCGCTAGAGGCGCTTCCGCGCTTCTCCGCCAGCGTCTATAGGAAAGCATTGAGCCGATGACGTCAAAAGGAGGAGGAGAGTCCCCAGCACCGAGGGAGCCAGACACTGAAGAAAGGTAAGAATTTAACCCCTTCCTCCCACTTCAGCCCGGCGGGGTGGGGGGACCTATTAACACTATAGTGCCAGGAAAACAAGTTTGTTTTCCTGGCACTATAGTGGTCCTTTAACTATGTTTTTCTATATTTGAGTTATGGAGCTTGGACTACATTTAGTCAGCAGTAGATATTTATGCCATATATACAGACCTGATATATCTTATAGAGGTAAAGATGCAGTGCATTATTTGAAATGTGGAATATACTACTTATATGCCTATTTTTTTATATCAAGTTCCATTTTATTGAAACTCCAATATTATTGGTAAAGTAACCGGACGATTTGACCATATGTTATAGATAATAAAATAATAATAGTAGTAATAATAATAATAATAATAATAATAATGTAAAATATAATATTCTAAAGCCTCAGTATTTAGGTTTCAAAAGCTTGAAATGGCAGTTGTACTTTTATATATTTTTGTGAATTGCTGTGAAGATGCCAAATCATTTAAAAAAAAAAAAGTCAATATCCCCGTTTATTAAATTATTTTTTTTAAGTTTTTAAATAAAATTATAACAATCTGTATTTACATTTACTATCTACCGTATACATGTACACTGTAACAACTAAAAAAAATATATATTTTTTTTTTTTACAAAGATGTTAATGGTACCTTTTTTTCCCACTTGTGTGTTTTTTTTTAATTGTATTTCTTATAAAAACTAAATGATAGCCTTATAGTTTTGGGCAGGCACCCTTTGCCTACTGGCAACCAATATTTTTATACCCAGTCCGCCACTGCTCACATGCTACATCCACACACAGAAATATGCACCCACTGTATATGTGCTTCAAATACCACATGAGAGAGAATAGATATAAATATATATATATATATATATAAATATCGATACATGTTTATCGGTCATTCATAGATGTTTTCTAAGTGGTACCCCTATTTAAAGGTTTGGCATAAAACCAGGGGCGCAAAGCACCATAACAACTACAATGAGCTGTACTGGCTAAGATACTTAGAATGCCCCATTAACCCCAATATTATTTTAACTAACTGTAAACCAGACATCATTAATCTTTAAGAAAGAAAAAAAATGGAAAAAAGGAAACTTGATGTAGCAATACAGATATGTGCACCTACATGAGAAACATCATGAAGTGTGGCATATTCTAACATAATTAGGCATACGTGTTATATAAAACATTATACAGAATCCATGCAGCATTTGTATCGTATCGCAAACATGAAAACCAATAAATGTAAGATAAAAATAAATTTATGTAGATGTATCTAGGTTTGAAAATTGAACTCCAAGTTCTAAGAATGTATTAACATTTTCAACACACACACACACCTCAGCTCAGCTCAGCTCAGCTCTAGCTGCTGGTGGTGGTTAGTACGGTTTCACTAAGCAAAACAGATAAGACAAGCACCCAAACATCCAGTCAATAAATGTGATGTGTTAAAAGGACTGTTCACCCACTCTGTAAAAACACTACAGCTGCTGTTATAGACCAATATTATAAAAAAATGTGTAAGTTTCAGCAGCAAGCACTTTGCACCCTCCACCTGCAACCAGACTCTATCCCACATCATCCTCTGCAGTTAGTGGGACTTGTAGTCTTGCAGTAGTTGAGGCTCTCAGGATCTGCCTGGAAGCTGCAATAAGGATAAGCCTTGAGATATAGTCCCAATAAAACGTGTATATAGCGTTGTTTATCTCAAAAACCCTCTGATGGTTTTTGCAAAAAGTAACTTGTTCTAGAACACAGAAAGTTTGTGTGAAATAAAACAGCTGGAATGTTACCTTAATTGTACTATCCTCTCAGCTATGAAGGCCAGGCTGATCCCGATTAAAGTTAATTTGAGCAATGCCCCCATGCCTGCAGCGTTGGAAGGGCTTCCTTATGGTTGGGCTGCTCTCTGTAACTCAGAGCTGGGACTGCAGGCTGATGGGGCGGTTCTGGGCAGCTCCAGGCACGTCTATGTACACAGCTAATGGGAATACAATGTATTCAGAGCCCTGTAACTGTGCACTGCATGTAGCCAGGCTTGGCCACATGCAATCTTTGCAGAGTGTTTTAACCCCTTAAGGACCAAACTTCTGGAATAAAAGGGAATCATGACATGTCATGTGTCCTTAACCCCTTAAGGAAACAACTTCTGGAATAAAAAAAGAATCATGACGGAATATTTCCGTCATGTGTCCTTAAGGGGTTAAGGGGTTAAAGGTGAATAGTCAATAAACCACAAAGAATCATGTAGTTTTACTATAGTACACTTATTTTATGTTAGCACATCTGCAAAGGCAAGGCAATTCACCTGTCAGTCAAAATTTTCACAGAGTTATCTACACTCTGAATTTAAGCAAATTTAATATCATTCTTACCAAATCCAGGCTGAAATAGCCAAACTGTGGCTATAGAGGTGTTGGATAATTTGTCTAGATCACCTATTTTAGCCTGAATTTTGATTGGCTGCCATTTGTAGGTTAGTGAATATCCCTGCTCATCGTGCAGTTTAGTGATAGATAAATAAAACCAAGAGCAGTGAAATCAGAATACACAAAAACATCAGACTTGTTTTTTATCTTATGTAATTTATTTATTAATTCTCCAGTCCTGTTTTTATATTGTCTCCTCGGTATGGAAATCACCTCTATTCCCTACTCTATAAATAGTGATGTCGCGAACGGTTTGCCGCAGTTCGCGGCAAACCGTTCGTGGCGAACTCCGGTCAGCTGACACATCCCTGCCAATCTCCGGCAGACCCTCCCTCCCATACATGCATTTTTAACACTATAATGCCAGGTATACGTATGTGTTCCTGACCCTATACTGTTATTTTAATATACACACACTGACACATGCACAAACACACTCACTGACTCTTACACACACACACACATACACATTAACTGACAAACACACTCACTGACAGACAAACACACATTCACTGAGACAAACATTTACTGACAGACACACACTGAAACAAACACACACTTACTGAAACAAACACACACTTACTGAAACAAACATACACACACACACACACACACACACAGACACTGTGGCTATTACACAAACTCACTAGCTTATATATACCTATTGTTTTTTTTAATAAATGATACCAGTGGCCAGGTGTTGCTGTCCAGTGAAACTGACCAGCCATTTATGGAAAATTAGGGAATTTACTGTAAATGCGGCTTACTGCTAGTTAGGGGTTAACTGTAAAAAAAAAAAGTTTATATGCATTTTAAAAGTGTAAAAAGTTTTTAAAAGTTTTAAAAAATTAATAAGTCAAAAAAAGTTTAAAAACAAGTTTAAAAGAGTTTAAAAATACATTTCAAAATGCCTACACCTACAAATGCTTACCACTACACCTGGAATAAACTAGCGAAAAAAATGATCCCCCGCTAAGGTTCTAGGGTAACCAACCAGCTAAACTACTCTGAAATGGAATGTGGACACAGCATAAAACTTCAAAGTTAGAAAAAAAACTGAATTGCTGTGTCTCAAATGCGCCCCTTCAACATCCACATATACCTGGCAAAGGTACATACAGGGGTATTGTTGTACTCAGACGACATAGCTGAGCAACATATGAAATATTATACAGCCAAAGCACACATAAGATTTGCAAAATATACTGTGCAAACTCACTTTGTCTGTCAAAAAGGCAGAAAAATGCTTATTACCACTACACTTGGTACAAGCTAGCAGAACAATTATCCCACGCTAAGGATCAAAATATGCCTTTTGAAATAGCCTGGAATGTCTTCTTTAACCCCTTCAGGACGGAGTCAATAGTGCACGTTCTGAACAAAACAAAATGTAAAAAAAAACTGGAATTTGCGCTATATGTCTGTTCAATTGTAATTCACCGCTGTCACATTAAGTGCACCCACACTTATTATATATCGTTTTGTTCAGGAGAAACAGGGCTTTAATTTATCATTAACTATTCATATATGGAACATAATTTATTATGAATAAAATGTAAAAAAATGTGAGACAAAAAGATTTGTTTTTAAATTTGTATTTCCGTCTGACATTTTAGCTGTGAATGTAATAATACTGTTAGGTTTTACTGCAAAAAAATTCACATATTTGTAATCAGCGATGTCTCACGAGTACAACAGTTCCCCCCAATAACAGGTTTTATGGTGTTTTGGAAAGTTACAGGGTCAAATATAGAACGTTCCATTTTCAAATAGAAATTTGCCAGATTAGTAATGTTACCTTTGAGACAGTGTGGTAGCCCAAGAATGAGAATTACCCCCATAATGGCATACCATTTGAAAAAGTAGACAACCCAAGGTATTGAAAGTGGGGTATGTTTAGGCTTTTTTAGTAGCCACTTAGTCACAAACACTGGCCAAAGTTAGCGTTCATATTTGTTTTTGTGTGAAAAAAGCAAAAAACTAATATTTGGCCAGTGTTCGTGACTAAGTGGCTACTCAGAAAGACTGGACATACCCCACTTGCAATACCTTGGGTTATCTACTTTTGCAAATGGTATGCCATCATGGGGGTAATTCTCATTCCTGGGCTACCATACGCTCTCAAAGGCAACATAACCAATCTGGCAAATTTCAATGTCAACAAAATGAAATGCAAGCCTTATATGTGACTCTCTAACTTTCCAAAACACCATAAAACCTGTACATATCATCGTTGTAATACAATTTACCAGTTTGAAACACTAATATTTGAGTTCAGCAAAGTCCCCCGAGTAAAACAGTACCCCCTATGTACAGGTTTTATAGTGTCTTGGAGAGTTACAGGGTCAAATATAGTGCTTGTGAATTAAATTCTCTGCCCTTTCTCCCTGTGTTGTCAGGCATGTCAATAAAATTTTAATTATTCAAATCACATAATTATGTTAAAAGATTACTTAAATATACATCTAGAATTTTAATATATATGCATTTATAGGTATTTAAATTCTACGTGTATACTAATGTAATCTTTTATGTAATTATATGTATTTATCTATATATATATTTGCAGTTATTTGTATTTTATATATTGATAGATATATATATAGAATGTCATTCTTAGTGTATTTTGTTACCTATATATATATATATATATATATATATATTAATAACAAGGGCTTTAAAGCCCTTTTAATGCGGGACAGCATAGAACGCCGTAACGGCGTTAAGGGGTTAACAAATGGTATGCTTTATGGTGTAGCTTGAATATGTAGCCTGCTCAAGTGCTCCAAAGTGGGACACAGACACATCAAAACCCTCCATGAAAATTCACATTTAAAAACATGAACTTGTCACTCAGAAGATGTAACTGAGCATAATTTGGGGGATTTTATGACAGTAGTACACATCAAGTGTAAGAAATACTCTGCAAAAATGCAATATGTATGTAAAAATGCAATTTTTTGGTTAGAAGCACCTTGAACGCATATGAAAAGGTCTGGTAACCCTGGAAGGCCAGTGATAGAGAGAACTGAGGTTAGATCAGGAAATGGGGCACCACCATCACTAACCAAACCCGAACGTAATCCAGATGAAACTCTGATCTCCTCCTGAGGGGCTCCCCCCCGCTCCCTTTTTTTTCATCTCTATCCGTTACTCCTTTTCTTCTGTTATTGGGAGACACGGAGACCACGAACTGATGCCATACACCACGAGCGGAGGGTATCCAAAACAGACGGAGCACTCTACTAAGGTCTCCAATCTTCTAACAGGTTAACTGTTCACTGTTTATTTGTTAACATGTGTCGCCAACAAAAGTACACCTAAGCTTGAGACAATCGAAAACTATTAGAATACAGCCAAGGTACACTCTGAAGAAGGGGGGTAACCCCTAGTGAAAGTACATAACAAAAAGAAATAGAGAGAGTACCTAATGGAACAAAGGAAAGAAAAGCTATCACTATGTGAAAAGTGTGCAGATAATGCACAATATAGTCACAGATGAAGTCTAAATAAAATAAAAATAACAAAAAGCTTTATTGGATATACGTGTTAAAAAATTATATAGATATAAAGAATAGAACATAAATGAAAAAATTAAAAACAACCCAAATAGTACCCAATATTGTGAAATAGTTGATGTCTAAAATCAGTATAACATACTGCACACGTCTGTGCAGGGTGAAGAAAAAAGGGGGCGTAAGGGGGGGGCGAATAAGAGAACTAATATGAGTACAGTAACCTGTACTAGTTGAATGGTATGCTAATAAAACCAGTATGATTACTGAATGGACAGCAAATAGACTGGCTGTCAAAATAGGCTGTAATAGGTGCAAGGTAACCGAAAATAATAAAGTGCCTGATAACAGCCTATAATACTGCCTAAAGAATATATTAAATAGAAAATGGTAATAAATATATATATACAGATGTAGTTGACAATGAAAGTACTGACTGGTATAGAACTGCTAGTGAAATATAAAGCACAATAAATATTGCGCAAAACTATCCAGATAGCGTGCCGAAACTGGCTATCTATATAACGATGTAGAACAAATAATAATGAGTACTAACTGAAATAACTTTGATTGATAAATAGCTAACTGGTGAATAGAATAATGATAGAATAAGCTACCGGGCTGGTAAGATTGCTACAAGGATATCGAATGCCAGTAGTAACAAATGTAACACTGGCTGAGAAAAATGTATATCGGATAACAAATAGACGGAACGTTGTAACGTTACTGTAATGATTGTGGAACTACTGCTAATATTAGGTGCAAAGAGTAGCAACTGATATGGTACTGTACTGTGAAAATGACGTGCTAAACTAACTGGATGTCTACAATACTCTTAGCAACTGGAGAAATGGATAATGATCGGTCCGAAGATAAACTAGAGTAAAGCAGCTATACTGAAGTCTGCAACAAAGTATATATTGAAAGATGAGAGGCAAAGAAAGGAGAGTAATCCTAAAACTAAACAGCCCACCCGTGTGCCTTCGAGGGCACCAGGAACTAACGCCCACTAAAAATAGCTTAATAAAGACATCAGACAGAGAGGAGATACAGAATAATGTGAAAGGGTAGTAGATAGATGGCGAAAAATTGCGCCAGAAGTCCCCAATATTATT